AGTCTGTAATACTGACTTTGTTAATCTTTTCAAAAACAATTTTGGATTTTGTTAGTGTTTGGTAGGGCTTTTGTTTTATCTCCATTCTTTTATTATCTTTATTAATAACTTCCTTTACTAGATTTTCTTTGCTCTTCTCTTTATTTTTTTATACTTTTTCTTAAAATGTAAAAGATGTGAGATCTTTCTTCTTTTGTAAATGTAGGTACTTACAGTTTTAAGTTTTTTTCCTGAGCACTGAGAGCCAATAGAGTAATAACCAGCACAGGTGCCAAAGATGATTTTCAAAATACTGTTCTGGAACAACTAGATATAATGGATGCACATTTGGGAAAAGTGAATCTAGACTGAAGCTTATTACACACACACCCACACACAAAATAAAAGCCAAAACTATGAGTCTTAGGAGAAAATATAAGATGAATATTTATATAAATTCTTAGGCAGGGTACAAAAGCACTAACTTATTAAAGAAGAATTGATAAATTGGACTTTGTCAAAATTTGAAATGCGCTCTTCTAAAGAGGCTGAGGAGGGGTGTATAGGTCAGTGATAGAGTGCTAGCCTACCATGCATGAGGCCCTAGGTTCAACCCCAGCACCACACAAATGCACACAAAAAGGTACTGTTAGGAACATAAAAATGCAAGCCTCAAATTGACAGAAAACCTGTGCCACAAACACATATAACTAAGGCCTTCTATGCAAAAGAGTCTGGAGCTCTTGCAACTTAGGACAAATGATCCAGTTTTAAAATGGTTAGAGGACTCATGCACATAACGCACAGAAGATTGTGGGTGGACAATAAGGATATGACAAGATGTTCTGTGTCATCAGTTACCAGGGAAATACAAATGATATGCACTTTGTAACCCATTAAAATGACTAAAAAAGATTCACAAGATTCACAATAGGAAGTGTGGAATGCTCGTTCCCTGCTTATGAGAGTCTAAAGGATATAAACCACTTTTGAAAAGGAGTTGGTGGGGCCAGGTATGTAGCTCAGTGGTTAAGTGCTTGTCTAGCATGCATGAGGCCTTTGGTTCAATCCCTAGTACCACCAAAAAAAAGAAAAAAAAGAGTTGATAATTTCCCATTTTTCCATAAAGTAAATACAGACCTCTCCTGTAATCTACCCAGTCCACTTACAGACTCACAGGTACTCATCCACGTTCAGTGAGAACATGCCCAGACTGTACAAGGTCGCTACTTGTACGGTAATAATCACAACAGTTTGATTCATAACAGCCCCAGATTGGGAATAACCCCAATATCCATTCATCACGAGTGAAAATTGACCGTAAAACAACGTCTACGGACCTCACCAACATTGTGTTGGAGAAAAGCATACACCCCCGGGGGCAGGGGGAGAGATGACCCAAACAATGTGCACACATGTAAATAAATGAGTAATAGTAATAATAATAAACCAGACACACCAAGGAGGACAGAATGTGAATCCCATGGCTACTGAGTTCTAGAACAGGCTAAGGTGAACTATGGTGACAGGTGAGATGGCATCACAGCCAGATTCTGCTGGCGAGAGCGTACTGCAGTGACCGGGCACTCTCTGGGATGAAGGAAATGTTTTATATTTAAGGAGATTACACAAAAGGATGGAGCTGTTAAAACTCACTCAATCCAAAAACCATGTATTTTGTTAGGTATGACTGTATACGAATTGTAGAAAGATTCACAAATATGGATACAAAAGTGATAAGTAATGAAATCTTAGGCAAAAGTGAAGATGAAATCAGAAATTATTGTGACAAAAAATTCACTATTTCACTTAGAAGAGACCCACTTCAAATAGAAATAATAGGCTTTTGGGTTGTTGATAAACCAACGAGTATAGAGGAATGAGTCACAGGACCATATATGTGAAATTATCAAAATTCGTAGGTTTTTTTTTTTTGACAAAATGCTGATGTATAAAACTCCTATCTAAAATGAAAACATATGTGATGATCTGGTAACAGATTTAGTCACTACACCAGTAAACACCGAGTTCACTGCACTCTTAATAGCTTGAATGTGAAAAAACGCTGGGCAGAAGTTTTCTTTTTACTGCTCCCCCCAGCAGTCCCACCCTCCCCACACCCAACAGAAATTTCTGAAAGTTTGATAATCCTAAAAATTTACACTGCAATATCAAAACAGATCGTTAATTTGAAAGAGATTTTAACATTCTCAAAATTTTTTCAATCTTGCCAGAGAAAAGACAGTTTTCTATTTTTTTTGTATGGAAAATGATCCTAAACCTGAGTGTCGGTGGGGGTATAAAAGTATATTCAGTCAAAATGTGTTGTACGTAACGTTCATCGAATCGTGTGGGCAGTTTTAATGTCATGTTCTTTCTTTCTGGGCTTTGTAAGTGTGGGTTTTGTTAATTTAAAAACCTTTTTTCTTTCTTTTTTTCGAGAGTGTCACTATGAAGAACAGGCTGGCCCCCAGGTCATCCTCTTGCCTCGGCCTCCTGAGTGCTGGAATGACACTTGTTTGATGCCATCCCAGGCTCAAAACACTTCAATTTGTATTACTCCAGGTAATTTTGGGGACAGTGCTGGGGCTTGAACTGGGGCCTCAGGCTCGCTGGGCAGGTGCGTCAGCGTTTGAGCCCTCGTCCCGCCTAACGTCTTCATCTCTACCCTCGTTTTCACAAACCCTGCTGGGGAAGCTTTGGGTCCTACACCCAGCTCCTGGGTGCAGTTTGGATTAGTGATTGCAGTCGGAGAAGGAAGCTGCAGAAAAGACGCATTCGGTGCAATTCCGCGTGCGAAATGAAAAGGCTGCGAGCTTTACTGATGTGCCCTTTACAGACGTGGCGCCCACCGGGGCTTCGGGGGCACGGTCAGAGCGCTTCTGTCCCTAGGCAGTGCCTGCCCTCACAGCCCGAACCTGCGGGAAAAAAAGGTGAAGACTGCACTTTGGGACTGTGTCGGGCACAGTAAAACCGTTGCTCCAGCCTCTTTTTTAATGATTTTATAGGAAGAGTAGCACCGCTTTCGCAAGCCCCCAAGCTGTGCTCTGGGTCTCCGACCCGCCGTGCGCGGCTAGGGTTCTGTGCGCTTTCGCAGTCACTTTAGCAACGCCAGGAAGGCGACACCCGGAGTTCCGCAAGGCCGCCACCAGCGTGTCACCCCTGCCTACAGGGGCTTCGCGACGGGGACCTCGCCTCCCGCCCGCCCCCTTTCCTGCATCTGGAGGGACCGTCACCGCGCGACCCGGCCCGCTCGCGTCTCCCGCCGCCCGCGCTCCCCAGGTGGAGGCAAATAACGGCCGGCCACGCGCGCCCGCCGCGTCCCAACCGCCACCTGCCTCCCAACAGGCCACGCCCCTTTCTGGAACTTTCCTTGGCCGAAGCCCTCCGCCCATTCTTCCTGGGCTCGCCTCATTCTCCGTTGGGGTTCTTGGGGTAAGGTCGTCGCCTCGCCCACCGCCTGCCCCTGCCGGCGGCCGCGGCCCTCGCCTCGCCTCGCCTGCTCTCTTTTCGCGTTCTTTTCTCCTCGCCTCCTCTCTCTTTTCGCGTTCTTTTCTTCTCTTTTCTTTTTTTTAATTTGCGGTGCTGCAATGAACCCAGGCCTTGCGCGCATTGGGCAGGCGCTCACCACTGAGCCTCCCACCCTCAGCCCTCTTGTTTAAAAATTCTTTTCCTTTAAAAAATCTCTCCCCCCCTCTTTGTCCCCTATCTCTCCCTCCCTTTCTCTCCTCTCCCTCTCTCCCCTCTCTCCCTCCCTCTCCTCCCCCCTCTCTCTTTCTCTCTCTCTCTCTCCCCCTCTCCCTCTCTCCCCCTCTCTCCCCCCTCCCTCTCCCTCTCTCTCCCTCTCCCCCTCTCTCCGGTGCTGGGCCTTGCGCCTGCAGCCACCAAACCCAGCGGTCGTCCTGCTTGGGAACTGTCTGTTCCCTTCCTCCCTCTCTGTGCTGCTAGGAACGAACCGGGCCTTGTGCGTCTGGGGCGAGCGCTCGCCCCTGGACACCCACCTCCTCTTCAAAATTTTTTCTTTTAAATCTCTGCCTTTCCAGTGCTGGGCAAGCCCTCTTCTTTTTAAAAAACTTGCCTCTCTTTTTGCAGCATTAGGAATGAACCCAGGCCCCTGAGCCCCACCCCCAGCCCTCTGATTTGTTTTTGGCGGGACTGGGGTTTGAACTCAGGGCTTCATCCTTGCAAAGCAGGCGCTCCAGACCGCCCCCCCCTTCTTTACATTTTTTTTTCTGTTTTAATTTTTTGCGGAACTGGGAATGAGCTCAGGGCCTTGTGCCTTTTGGGCACGCGCCCGTCACTGAGCTTCCCAGCCCGGCTCCTGTGATTCGGGGGGCAGTTCTGGGGCTTGAACTCAGGGCGTCGCGCCCTCTCGATTATGCAGTGCGAATCTCTGCAGCCGTTCGCCCTCCATTAGGAAGCTCGCTCGCGGCGACGCCTCGTCTCCAGGGTCGCGCGTGGGCTTTTAGAGGGCCTCGCTGGCAGCGCAGACGACTTTTTTTTGCTTTTTCGCTCTCTGCTGTAATGCCCGTTCCCCCGTTCCGTGTTTCACGTTCCCGTACCGCTTTAGGTCTCTGAAGGATTCTAAAGAGGAAAGCATTCCTTCCCTGCCCGTAGCACATGCACCCAGAAACACCGGAGCATCTGGAAACGGAGAGAAGCCCGGAAAGGAAACAGCAGGCAGGTGGGCGTCAATCCCGCCCGGGGCGGACGCGTGCGGGAGCCGCGTGGGCCGGAGGAGGGCTGAGGTTGGGGCCGCGAGGCCAACTTTTGAGGTCCACCCGGACGGGCCCTCCTGATTGGCCCGGGCCGTGCGGCCCGGAAGTGACGTCAACGGCAGGCTCCAGGCTGGCGGGCGGCGACCCGCTGCCTCTCTTCCCACGCCCCGCCCCTTGGCGCACCAAAACAAGAGCGCTGCGGCGGGGGCGGGGCCTGAGGACGGCCTACGCGCGGGGGGCGGGGCCTGCGCTCGCGGCGCCGCGGGTTGGATGTCCGGCTGCGGCCGCGCACTTCCGTCCGCGGTCGGCTGTTGGGCCGAGGCGTGCAGGTGGGCTGGCGGCCGACGCGGTGCGGGTCGCGGTGAGGATCGCGGAGGGCTCGGGGCCGCAGGAGGAGCGTGCGGACGGTGCGCGGGAGGCCGCCTGAAGTAACCGTCGCGGCGCGCGAGGCCGCGGTGGGGGAGGGGCGGCGGGAGCGCGGATGCTTCCGTCCCCGGGGTCGCGCGCCCGGCGGGAGCGTCCCGGGGCAACCAGCGGGCCGCCCTTTTGTGCCTCGGCACGCCGCGGCCCGGGCGCTGGGGGCCGCTGCCCTGCCGGTCCTCCATGCTGCGGCCTCGAGTGAGCGGTTTGGGGACTGGGCTCTGCGCAGTTTCCGTGGGGTTGCGGGGGTCTCGCGGTGAAAGGGTCGCGCCCCGGACGTCGCCCCCGCCCTTCGGAGACGCTGGTTCCCCGGAATGGCCACCCGGGCCCGCCCTGCCCGGCCGGAAGGGGATGGAGCGCTGACAGCCGGCCTCGTGGGCTTCGTCGGGGCCCTCAGCTCCCCGAGCGCGAGGACTCCCGACGCGAAACGGGCACGGCTGCCCGAGGACCCCACCTGAGGGGACAGGTTTGCGGTTTGACGGGTGGCACGCTGCCTCAGTTGTCTTCTGCACTCGGTGGTGGTGGAGAGTTTTGAACCAGTGCCTGGCCGGCCCCTGAGTAGCTAGGGGCCAGGAGTGCAGTGAGTCCCTTCCTTTCTAACCCGTCTCGACTTCCCTCAGGTGGCACTGTCTGTCGCTATGGCGTTGATGTGAAGCTCAGGTGATGTAAAGGTTATGAGCCACTTTCAGTTTTGTTTCCTTCTCAGTTTCAGAAATGTTCTTTTGGCGGCCAGTGTCTGAATATATCTAAATGCAAATCCTCACTCCCTCACAAATAAGCCCAGGAATCTCCACTGAGAGGATCACTTCTCTGTGGGCCGTTTGACAAGGTAATTATTATTTTTCAACAAACTTTTAAGACATGTTTTGAGTCATTTAATATGTACTGAGCAGTGGAGTTAAAAATGAGCAGATCCTTGGCCCTAACAGTCAGAATTTCTTAGGGTGGGGCAGGAAAGTATATAGGAATTCAAACCCCATTGGTAAGGGCAGTGGTAGACACTTGCACAGGTCCTGAGTGATAGAGAAAGTCATCAAAGACAAACTGGAAGAGGACACCAGGGATGTGTTGCATGTTGGTGGCTCTCAAAGCCACTTTTCTATCAGAAACATTAGTGGAGTGCTTTAAAAGTGAATCAGAATTCTGCAACAAGATCTTACTAGCATGCGTGAAGCCCTGGTTTTGATCCCTAGCACCTAAAACAAAAACATTTTTTTAGCTGGGTGACTCACTACTAAGGAGGTTGAGGCAGGGATATCACTTGAGCCCACGAGTTTGAGACCATAGTGAAAAAGTCTTACACACTTTTTTCAGTCCTTGGGAAGCTTCAGTATGGGAATAGTTGAAGCAGTGATTCGAATAAGGTCATCCAGAAAAAGGAGGTTAGAAGTCTCAAGATTAGCTGTTGGAGAGTTTTTGTTGTTGTTTTGTTTTTTTGAGACATAGTCACTGTGTAGCTCAGGCTCGCTGGAACTCACTGTGTAGCCTAGCCTGGCCTTGATCTTCATCCTCCTGCCTCAGCCTCCTGAGTTCTGGGATTATAGGCACGTACCACTGTGCTCAGTTTTGGAGATTTACGTTTAGATGGGGGAGAGCAAAGCAAGAAGTGGTAATCAAAATGTTTAAGTAGACAGTGTTAGGAGAATGGTATGTTGGAGTAGCTAAGGAACACATAGTGAGCATTTCCATACAGAGTTGAGCCTGTGAGTAGTACATAGTGTGTATATAGTTGGATATTGAGCGTATCCATATGGGCATTGAATATGTGCTGTTATTTGTGAGCAGTTGTATAGTTAAACACTGCTGAGGAGGTAGATTTGGGAAGAAGAGTACACATTCATTGGGGTGTCTATTGGGGTAGAAGCTATAGTGCAAAGGAGCTGAAGGAGGAGAGATAGTAAATTAAATTTCTTTTCAAAGATGTTTGTCTGAGGATGGGAGAAGAGATTGTTTAAGTTTCTGTCTAGTTAATATTGCGAAATTAGCTGGCTGCAGTTGGTACATGCCTGTACAGAAGGATCAAAAATTTCAGGCCATAGCTGGGTGCCAGTGGCTCATACCTGTAATCTTAGTTACTCAGGAGGCAGAGATCAGGAGGATTGTGGTTGAAAGCCAGCCCAGGCAAATAGTTCTCGAGACCCTATCTTGAAAAATAACCATCACAAAAAAAGAGCTGGTGGAGTGGCTCAAGGTATAGGCCCTGAGTTCAAACTCCAGTGCCACAAAAAAAAAAAAAAAAAAAAAAAAAATCAGGCCAACCTGGGCTGTAAAGTGAGTTCAAGTTTAGCCTGGACTGCATAGAAATACCCTGTCTCCCAAAAAAAAAAAGAAACGTGAAATGGTATCTCAAGGAGGTCTCATACAGTTCCATCAGTTTTTTTGTTTGTTTTGGCAGTAGCAGGGTTTGAACTCATGACCTCACGCTTGCTAGGCAGGTGCTCTACAACTTGAGTCACCCCATCTAGTCCTTGTATCCTGTAGTTTTGACATGTCAGCTTCCTTTAGTTGGTGTTTGGGGACTGGCTCTTACTTCTGCCCTGCATCTTTGAGTTCTGCACACCCCCATTTGTGGTTTAGTAAAGATTCCAAACAGACCTCAAGAAGAACTGAGTAGTTCTGTAGAGACTTACAGGACGTAGTCATTCATGAGCAATAATTTTTCCCTGAAAGAAAAAATATACCCTATTGAGGTTTTTTGGGTTTAGCCATTGGACCATGATGGCTAAGATAGATTTGGGAACAGAACCACACACATTGTGGCCTTTTGAGAGAAATTAGGCAAGCATGTGTTTCTGTTCTGCTGTGCAGCACAACAGTATTCTTTGTGTTTTCTATAGTCCATGGCACTTCTCTGTTCTGTGGCAGTATCTTCCATCCACTTGGAGAAATTTAAGATTTCCTTTCTAGGATGTGAAAGCAGGTTAGGTCTCTGAGTGAAGTAAAAAGCAAAATCTGTAATCTTCATAGGTTTATTTTGCTTTCTGCCCTGTTAATTGAAAGTAGACAACATTTTGTTTACACTGCATTCCCTTAATTAAGGTTTTCAAAGTTACAATTGACTGCAGTCTGTTTTCTGCCAAAATCGTTCTTTTTTATTTATTTATTTATTTTATTCATATATGCATACAATGTTTGGGTCATTTCTCCCCCCTTCCCCCGCAAAATCGTTCTTAAAGCAGTTGATACATGAGGAATCTGAAGTTTCACTTTCTGTTCTTCTGACTTAATTCCCCACATTGAATTAATGACAGGAAAAACCAGTTTTGCAGACTGTTAACTTTGAGTTTTATGATGCTGTTCTTTCAGGGATTAAAAAAATTCTTTAAATCATTTTCTGTTTTGCAGAAACATTAAGAAGTCTGTTCCCTTAGGGCCCTTGGCATCCCTTGCAGGTATTCCCTAGGCTGTAGTGCCTTTGGAGAAGGTGTAGGCCCTCTCTTAGTGTGATGGAGTTAGAGTGACTGTCAGGACAGGGCAAGAGTCTGCAGCTGAACTTGGACAATACTGTTTCTTCACCTGATAGCTTTGTGGCTTATGTTACTCATATGTTCCACTTTTTAGGAAGTTCCTGGTTTAAGATTTAGTGAAAGGAACTCCTAAATATTTTGACTTCTCTTTTTTTTTTTTTTTAAATTCTATTTTTCAGTATCGTTTTCTGTGTCTACTTAGAGTTGAAAGCTACCTTAAATTCTGTTTAGAAGTGTGAAGAAAGTATGCTTCTTCAGAGGCATAAGTAAAAGTGATACTTAACGAATTTTAAAAGATCTGTCCATAAGATGGATACTAGGTGTGCATTTATGTAATGACTTAATCATAGGTTAAGAAATTGAGCTGCAGAGCCTCAGGAGTAAAGTTGACAGTGTTACTGGTCTCCTGTTAACAGAGATGTGTACTTGGAATTTTAGGGTGATATTCACAAGCCTTGTACTGCCAGATTTCTGTGTCCAAAACATTGAGCAGCTTTGCTTAGGTTTTTAACTTTTTATTTTTTTATTTGGAGGCATGGCTTAAGTGGTAGAGCACCTGCCCAGCAAGCCGCAAGCCCTGCGTTCAAACCCCACGGCTGCCAAACAAAACAAAGTGAAATCTTGTCGCTTCTTCCTCCATGAAAGGAAACTTTATGCAGGTTATTTTTCTGATTGCCTTTCCTGTGAATTTTAATGCCACCAATATGCTGTCTCTGTGTACTGTGTGAATATGTGTCCTTTACACACAGGGGAGTGATGCTTTTTCATATCCCACTAATCAGTTTTTATTTCCTTTTGGGTAACACCAACTCTGATGAGAATGCTTGGGTTAGAGCTATTCAGTTTATGAAGTGAACTTAATTAAGGTTATGGCTGGGTTTGTAACTTTTCTCCCCATTTGGCTGATATTTTACATCCGTTGGATAGTTTCTGTTTTGTTTTTTATGGTGCTAGGGATTGAACTCAGGGCCTCATACCTGCTAGGCCAGCTACATCCCCAAGTTAAGTTTTTAAATTTATTTATTTACTTTGGTTTTCTTTGAGACAAGGTCCTCACTATGTAGCTCAGGCTAACCTCAAATATCCTCCTGCCTCAGCTGCCTGAGTGCTGGGATTATGGGTATGCACCACCATGCCTAGCTTCAGGTTTTTAAGATGGGGTCAGTTGGATACTTTCCTGGCCAGTAAGTCATTATTGTCATATGAAGAAATTCTCTTGATTACCCTTGAATATGGTCTTCTTTTGTTGTTGCAGACTGGCAGGTAGTTGTTTAGATAATACCCATTTTGGGTTTGTCTTTTTTTTTTTTTGTCTCATTGGAACAGTTCAGTTATGGACTCTTGAAAGCAAACCCCAGAGTTGAAGTTCCTTCCTCATCACATTATGCTAGGGCCACCAGTGTGACTTAAGCTGGTTAGGTTTATCTTGATCACTTGGTTAAGGTTATGTTTGCCAAGTGTCTTCACCATAAAGTTATGTTTTCCATATTCTCTTCTTACAGGTGAATTACCAAGTTCAGTCCATTTTCAAGGGACTGTGATTAAGCTCCTCCTCTTGTGCAGCCAGGAATATCTGTATGTTACTTGTGTTCGTTCATTCCCAGTTTGTTACTCAGCCATTTATTTGTATAAGTATAGGTGAATTATTTTTTGTGATCCTGGGGTTTGAACTCAGGGCTTTGTGCTTACTAGGCAGGCGCACTGCCTGCTGCCTGAGCCTTATGTCAAGGACTTTTTGCTCTGGTTATTCTGGAGATAGGGTCTCAATTTTTGCCCAGGCCAGCCTATTTTGTGCTCCACACCATTGCTGAGATGACAGGCACCACCACTATTCCCAGGTTTTTTCCATTCAGATGGAGTCTTGCAAACTTTTTTGCTCTGAGATCCTCCTGATGTTAGTTTCCCGGGTAGCTAGGATTACAGGTGTGAACCCTGGAGCCCGGCTTTGGAATTTTTTTTCTTCAGTCATTTATTTATATTGTATAGGTGAATTTTTACTGATTTGTTCTTTTGCTTATCATTCAATATTGCATTATTGTATTCACGTTGTTTCAGCTTTAGCTATGGGGGAGGTCTTCTAGTTTGATTCACTGGCATTACATGATCCTCCAGGCTCCCTTTGCATTTTCTCTGTCCTAATCTGTTTGTTTAGTTAATGCGTATCATTGCTCACATTCACTTTTTATTTGCACAATATACTGTTTACTAACAATGTCTTTTCTGTTAGCTATTATCTGCATTTAGTGATGGGAATAAAGGTAGCATGTCTCAGCTCATTTTCAGTACACCTCATTAGAGATGTCTTCCCTCCTAGTTGGTGATCTTCTCAGTTTCATTTCAACTGCAGTTCTGAAACTCACTTTTTATATCTTCCTTCAAGCCTTTGGTTCTTGGGATTTCTCTTCTTCCTGGTACCATCTTGCTGCCTTCTTTTTGAGACTGCCAGGATTTGGAAGATTATTTTGTCAACCTTTAACTTCCGAGTTTGGCTGGTGGGGGCTCAAGGGTAGTATAAAAACAAAAAGGCAAGAGGACCAAAGACCATTCAGTAGTAAACTCAGTGACACTGCTTATTAACGTTTGTAGCTATTGGTTTACAGTACATTGAAGAGTAATGAGTTGTGGCAGCAGTGTGTGTGTGTGTGTGTGTGTGTGTGTACATACACATATACACATTTATGCACACACACACACACACACACACACACACGCACACACTTTGTTTTTCTTCTCTTGGCAGTGCTGGGGATTGAACCCAGGGCCTTGCACGTTCTATACCAGTGGTCTACTACTGAGCCACACACTCAGTCCTATACAATATGCTTTCTAAACAAGAGAAAATGCTCTGTGTTTTTGTTGGTGGTACAGGATTATATGTATGGATATGTTTCCAGAAATTTCTAGAAATGTGGAAGTTTTCTTGAGCTTTTGAATTTGACTCCAGTAAGTTACTAGGGACACTCTAAAATCTGAATCTCGATAGTGTTGATAAGTGTGTGTGTCTTTCTGTCAGCTTTCTCTGTAGTACAATTGCATGTTCCTTTATGTTTATTGCTACCGGAATGCATTCAGACTTTGATTTGTTTGGTGATTCTGAGGTCTGAAACCAGGGATTGCTTGCTTGGCAAGCACTACACCACTTGAGCTACACCCCATCCCTGCTTTCAGATTTGAGTTCACTCAGTCCAGTGGTTTTGCACATTTTAAGTTGAAGACCTGGTTATGAGTGGAACGTGTGTACATTCTTCACAGTAGCTTGGGTTTTTTCCCAGACAGGAGAGCTACGAAGGGCTATTTTCTTCTTAAGTTTTTAAATGGCATCTTTTGTGGATGTAGGTACAGAATGAGCACATGTTGTTGGTGTACGCCAGGTGGTATTTCCACCATTGATTTCCTAAAGTGCTATGCATCCAAGACCCTGTCCAGTGAATTTCAGACAGCTGATGAAGACCTCTGCTACTGCTTAGAGTGTGTGGCTGAATACCACAAAGCACGAGACGAACTGCCCTTCTTGCATGAGGTAAGTTACATTAGAGGGCACCATGTTTCACAGCTTGACAACTAAGGAAAGAGAAAATTTGACCTCTGTCAAGTAATTCAGGGAAATGATGTAACTTAGCTCTCCAGGGTGCAGTGAACCCTGAGTAAATACTTATCAGTAAAGGGGATTGAATTAAAATCTAACAAAGTTTTATGATCCATCAGTTCTAACCATTTTTGGTATAAAACAATTTTATAAAGTGGAGCCATTCCCAGTACTTAAGAGGCAGAGGCAGAAGGATTACAAGTTCAAGGCCAGCCTGGGCTACGTAGCAAGACCTGGTCTCAAAAACCAAAAAAAAAAGTAAATGGGGGGAGTGGGGGTGTATTTTTTGTTTCATTTTTTAATGTCAATATGCATTGGAATGGTTTGTGTGACCTTAAAAGTTAATAACTTTTATCTCCTTTTTTATGGATAAATAGTGATAAACCTCTGAAGGCAAGCATGTTAGGTCTGTTTCATTTATCCGAGGAAGAAAAGCACAGACAATAGAGTTGTGTACAATATTTGGAGGTGGGGATGAGTAGTTACAAATATGGTTGAGACTCTTGCCTTGTATAAAGTTTCTTAGGGAGCTAGCCGGTGTCTTCATGGGAAAGCCAGTGTTTAAGGTAAGCATCTGTGGCTTGGAATATGGTAGGTAAGAGGTGGAAAGCCAAGCTCATGCGTTCAACAAAGAAGCTTCGGCTTCTCATTTCCTTTTGAACATAGAATAGTTGATGAGGATGTTGAACTATTTGTAGCACTCTGCAAGAGAAAGTATTTAGACATTTCATGCTGTTGGTGTTCATGCCTCACAAAAGTGGCCATGTTTAGAAACTTGTCTCTGAGACTCATTAACACAAGCATATCTCATTTGGCTCATTGCATTGTTACACTTTCGAGATACTCTGACTTTTACAAATTGAAGGTTTGTGGCAGCCCTGCTTTTGAGCAAGTCTCCCAGTATCACTTTTCGAGCACACGTGTGCTATGTCTCTGTGTCACATGTTGGCAATTTTCGTATTATTTCCAACTTTTCATTATTATTATATGTTATCTGTGATCTTTGATGTTACCTATTATAGCTGTTTTGTGGGAACCATGAGCCCACACCCATATATGACAGTGACCTTGATCAATAAATGTTGTGTGTGTTCAGACTGTTTTACCAACTGGCCATATTTTCCCGTTTCTCAGGCCTCTTTAGTCCTTAAGACACAACAGTATTGAAATAACCTTACAGCGGCCTCTAAGTGTTCAAGTAAAGGGAAGAGTCACACATTTCTCACTTTAAAACAAAACTGGAAATGATTAAGTTCAGTGAGGAAGGCATGTTGAAAGCCAAGGGAAGCCTTTTGTGCACAGTTACGACTGCAAAGGAAAAGCTCTTGTGGAAAATTAAAAGTGCTGTTCCAATGAACTGTGAATGATAAAAAGTGAAATGGGTCCAGGCGCTGGTGCCTCATGCCTGTGATCCTAGCTACTCAGAAGGCTGAGATAGGGAGGAACACAGTTCCAAGCCTGCCTGGGCAAAAAAGTTTGCAAGACCTCATCTGAATGGAAAAAAAGCTGGGCAAGGTGATACATACCTGTTATCCCAGCAGAGAGGATAAAATAGAAGGATCTCAGTCCAGGCTGGCCTGGGCAAAAAGCAAGACCCTATGTCTAAAGTAACCAGAGCAAAAAGGGCTGGTGGTGTGGCTCAAGCAATAGAGTGTCTGCTTATAATCCCTAAGCCCTGAGTTCAAACCTCACCATCACCACCACCCCACTCCACCCCCCAAAAAAGAGGTGAAGCTGACATGGACAAAGTTTTAGTGGTCTAGATAGAAGATGAAACCAGCCACAAAATTCTCTTAAGCCAAGCCTAATCCAGAGCAATGCCCTAACTCTTTTCAGTTCTATGTTGGTGTAGAAGTAAGGAAACTGCAGAAGAAAAGCTTGATATTAGCAGAGGTAGTTCATGTGCCTTAAGGAAAGAAGCTGTCTTCATAACCAGAAGTGCAGGGTGAAGCAGCAGCTCATGTAGAAGCTTCAGCAAGTTATGCATAAGATCTGAAGTAATTGATAAGATTTTTGGTGTAGAAGAAACTACAGGAAGAAGATGCCACCTAGAACGCCCATATTTGGAGAGGAGGAACGAGTGCCTGCCTTGAGAAGACATGTCGACTCTTGCCTAGGGCCTAAGGCAGCCGGTGGCCTTTTCTTTTTCTTTTTCCGTTTTTTTTTTTTTTTTTGTGTGTGTGTACTGGGACTTGAACTCAGGGCCTTCACCTTGAGCCACTGCACTTGCCCTATTTTTGTGAAAGGTTTTATGAGATAGGGTCTCACTGAACTGTTTGCTGAGGCTGGCTTCAAACCTTGATCCTCCTGATCTCTGCCTCCTGAGTAGCTAGGATTACAGGCGTGAACCACCAGCACCCGGCCAGCTGGTGGCTCTTAAGTTGAAGTTTGTGCTCATTTACCATTCTGAAAATCCTAGGGCACTTAAGAATTATACTATATCTACTCTGCCTATGCTTTGTAAGTGGACTAACGAAGCCTGGAAGACAGCACATTTGTTTACACCAGAGTTCACTGCATAAATTAAACCCACAGGAGACCTGCTCAGTAGGAAGGATTCCTTTCAAAGCGTTACTGTTCATTGACAGTGCACCCTGGTCAGCTCAGGAGCTGTGATGCAGATGACAGTGAAATTGGCGTTTTCCGGCCTCCTAACACATCCATTCTGCCAGTGGAGCAAAAGCAGTTTTGACTTCGAAGTTTTGCAACTTTCTTTTTTTGGTAGGACTGGGGTTTGAACTCAGGGCTTAACACTTGCAAGGCAGGTGCTCTACCACTTGAGCCACTTCTCCAGTCCTCAGATTTTATAACTTATATTTCATAAGGCCGTAGCTGCTGTAGGTGTCATTCTTCTGACAGATCTGGGCTAAGTAAACTGAAAACTTTCAGGAAAGATTCACCAATTCAGATGCCTGAAAACATTTGTGATTCATGGGAGGAAGTTAATATCAACATTTGGGAGTATGGTTGACTTTGAATAGTTGCAGACTTCAGTGGACGTAACTACAGGTGTAGTATAAATAGCGAGGAGCTAAAATTAGAAGAGCCTCATGTGACTATTGCCACAATCTCATGATACAACTTGAATGGATGGGCAGTTGCTTTTTCCAGATGAGCAAAGTTTTGGGTCGTCCTCCCCCCACAGAACTGAGGTTTGAACTTAGGGTCTTGCACTTGCTAGGTAGAGGCTCTACCACTGGCTATTGTTTTTTAATTAAGGTATATACAGTACTATTTTTTATTCATAGTGCTTACTTAATAGATTACAACGTAGAATAAGCATAACTTTACTGGGAAACCAAAAAAAATTCATGTGACTCATTTTATTGTAAGAGTGGTCTAGAATCAAACCTACGCTATATTGGAGGAATGTCTGTGTATGATGGCTAGTACTTTGAACTTTTGAATTTTTGTACTTAGGGAAAGACTTTCAGAAATGATCATCACATGCAGCACGTTTCGTTGATAAGCTATAAAGCACACTGTCCTGTTTTCTCTTTCTTCAGGTTTTATGGGAATTAGAAACCATCCGTCTTGTAAATCACTTTGAAAAGTCCATGCAAGCAGAAATCGGAGATGACGATGAGCTATATATAGTAGACAGCAACGGAGAGGCCCAGCTGTTTGACTTCACTGGCCAAGACTTTGAAAATAAGCTTCGAGTTCCTCTCCTTGAGATACTGAAATATCCTTACCTGCTTCTGCACGAGCGCGTTAGTGAGTGCCTTAGGTGTTTTTAAATACATAGCAGTTTTACTGTTTTAAAATGTGGAATAGGAGATGTAACAATGATAGAGTGCTTGCCTAGCATGTGTGAGGTCCTAGGTTCAATTTCTAGCACACATGCAAAAAACATTTTTGTAAAAACTGAGGTTTATCTGTAATAAAAATTTATTTGCTAAATGTATAGTTAGGATGCTTAATACTTTCCTCAACATTTTATTATGAAAGTTTTCAAATACAGAAAAGTGAATTACAGAGTGAACAGTGGTAGAATGCTTGCGTAGCAAGTGTGAGGCCCTGAGTTCAAACTCCAGTGCTGCCAAAAAAAAAAGATTCATACATTTTAGAGTGAATAGCACATACCTACCACATAGATTCTATAATTGTTCATTGTGGGCTTTTTCTTTTCTCCCCCTGGCACTGGAGTTTGAACTCAGGGCCTCATACTTGCTAGGCAGGCACTCTCCCACTTGTGCACCTCCACCAGCCCTGGATTGTTACATTTTGCTAGATTTGCTTTATCACATAGCTTTTCATGCAGCTCATTTAAACTTGTAATTTATAGCAGGATTCTGAACTTTGGCATCATTAACATTTTGGATTGGGTTATTTTTTGTTTTGGGGACTGTGCTGTTCATTATAGGATGTTTTGCAGCATCCCTGGCCTTCATTACATGCTAGAACATCCTCTTTACTACCCCACCACTGTGACAACCAGAAATTTCTCCAACATTGCTGAGTGTCTCTTGGTAAGGGGGTGGGGAGGTGGGGAGCAAGACTCCCCTAATAGAGAACCACTGGTTTGTTGTAATGTTCACCAATCACCATTGCATGGCATATTCATAGTTCTTAATATGAATTTCTTATAAGTAAAGACATCTTTCTGATACATCACATCTAGCAAAATAATACTTTTTTTTTTTGAGTCAGTCTTGCTCACTGTGTAGTCCAGGTTGGCTTCAAACTTAGCCTTCTCCTACCTCAGCTTCCTGAGTATGGGAATTACAGGTGTGAGCCACTGTACCTAATAATATGTTTAAGGAATAATATCTAGTCCATATTCATATTTTCTCATTAGTTAGAAAAATATGTTTTTTGGCTGATTTGTTTAAATTAGAGTTCAGTCAGGGACCACACGCATTTGGTTCATATTTCTTCCATCTCTTCTAATGCAAAAGTCTTATTTGTATACACACACACTCCGTGAGTTTGATTTAGAGAAGAACATATATTTGCCCTATAGGAGAAATTTCATTGACTTTTTTTTTTTATTTCTTTCTTGTGATGATTTTAATTTGGATATCTTGTTTTTCCTAACCTCTGTATTTTTGTAAACTGAAAAGTAGATCTAAAGATTTGATTAAATAAATCTATTTCTTCTTAAATAAATTCCAAGTAATTAAATTTAAAAATTTGTGAGACAGTGGATGGGCCCTCTGTAAAAAGAGACATTCCCATTTATTTGTTTGTTTGTTTATTTTAAAAAGTCAGGATCTCACGGTGAACCTTGGTTGGCCTCGAATTCACAATCTTCCTGCCTCGGCCTAGGGAGTACTGAGATAACAGGTGTGTGCCACCACACCCAGCGTTTTTTAAGATTTATTAGTATTGTAATAGTTATATAGGGGATACTTTGTGATATTTATATATGTGCTTACAGTGTATCTTAGTTAGATTTATCCCGCCATCATTCTTCCTCCTCCCCACTCCCCTCTTCTTAGAACAATTTCAGCAGGTTTCATTCTTCTATTTTCATATATGAATACAAAATACATTCGCCATATTCACTCTCATTCATCCTTTCCTTATACCCAACTCCCTCCCACACACAGCTTTTTTTGTTTGTTTGTTTGGCAGTACTGGGGTTTGAACTCAGGGCCTCACTCTTGCTAGGCAGGTGCTCTGCCACTTTAGCCATTCTACCAGTCCACACCCAACATTTCAAAACTTTTATTAAAGAACAATAAATCCAGATTCAGTTATGGTGGTGCATATCTGTAATCCCAGCACTTGGGAGTCCGAGGTGGGAGAATCTCTAGTTTGAGGCCAGTCCGGCCTTATGTAGGTGAGACTGTGTCTCAAAAACAAGTGTTGTGTGTATGTTTGCATATCTCCATACCCAGAAAAGTACATAAGCTTGAATATTTTTTATACTTATGTAGCCAGCATCTGTATCGGGAAAATTAACCATTATCTCCATGATCTCCCATATCTTTTTCAGTCATCCCCCTCTGTAAAGACAAGCACTGTTATTAGCAGAATATTTTTTGAAGCTTGGCAAACTAAAATTGATAGATCTGGTAGTGTAAATGGATTGATTATTCAGTAAATGAAAGTGGGATGACTAGCCATTTGTGGAAGAAGCTGACTTGTCCTCTCACTCCTGTACCAGATAAAAGTTCAGGTAGACCAAAATGTAAAACATAAACGGAATTGAACCTGTAATCACAGCTTACGAGAAAACACCCTATGAAAATAATTATGTGAAGTATTTAAAAAAATACATACATTCTAGTAAATTCAAAATAATTCCTAAGGCTACACTCTGATTATAATCAAATTTGTCATGGTTCAGGATGTAGCTCAGTGGTAGAACATTTGGCTCAGCCTGCTTGAGGCCCCTGGGTATGATCCCCAGCACTGCAAAGCAATAAGAGTCTGTCAGTAGGTAAATTTTATTCCAGCATTTACATTATTAGCATTGTAGAACAAACAAGGAGCCAGGTTTAGGGAATCTGAAGAATTGATAAGATTTTTATCTTTTTATTTATTGTCTCATTTTTTTTCTATTTAGATGAACTGTGTGTTGAAGCACTTTGTCGGATGGAACAAGCCAATTGTTCCTTTCAGGTTTTTGACAAACACCCAGGGATCTACTTGTTTTTGGTCCATCCCAATGAAATGGTGAGTATGCGTGTTAGGCAAGGGAAGGATGTGTTTTATTTTTGTACGTATCGCTAGCTTCAGTATTAATAGTGGCTTTTGGTGTGTATTTTTGATATTTTTAAAATTTTTGCTAAAATTTATTTGTATTTTAAAATTACTACACTTCACTACAAGGTGCTGCTGGTCAAAGAAGAGGGAATTCGAAAGGGTAGGGGATACTTCATGATGAGTAATGATTGAGCACAAAAACAGGAGGATAATTGGATTTTCTTTTACTGTGTCAGACTGAGCTAATAAAGGATTTTTTATATTTTTTTGCAGTACGGAGGTTTGAACTCAGGGCTTCACACTTGCTAGGCAGGACTCTGCTGCTTGAGCCATACCTCTAACCCTTTTTGCTCTGGTTATTCTGGAAATAGGGTCTTGCTTTTTGCTCAGGCCAGCCTGGACTTCGATCTTCTTATTTTATGCTAGCTGCCATTGCTGGGATGACAGTTTTTCTTTTTCCATTGAGATAGGTTCTCACAATGTTTTTTGCCGGGGCTGGCCTTGAATCCTGATCTCAGACACTTGGATAGTGTGGAATGATAGTAGTGCACCTCCCTGCCCAGCTACTGGTTGAGACACAGGGTGTTTCAAAGCTTTCTCCTGCACTGTCTTGGAGCCACCATCCTCCCGGTCTCAGTCTCCCAAGTGCCTCAGATTACAGGCATGAGCCACACTGTCTGGCTGAGAATGAAGGATTCTTGTTTCTTGTTTTCCTCACTTGCCTGCCCCACTCCAAACACAAGGAAATTTCCTTACCAGTTAACATATTTGAAAAAAAAAATATATATTTTTGCTAATAGATGAGATTAAAGAGTGAGGGTGGAGGTGGGCAGGCGGAACCAAGAAATTCTGAGAGGCTAGAAATGAAGAGGGACAAAAGTCAGAGTAATGGGAGGAACAGATGCAGAGAACAGCAGTGGAGCATTGAAGCCTGAACTAGATCTTCTGGCTAAGTGGTGAGGTCTCACCACCATGTAGTGAGGTAGACTATGCTGCAGGTCCCGTGCTCATGGCACTTAGAACTAAATTACTACATCAGGCACTAACCATGAAAAGCTACTCTGCCAAAATAAGGCAAGGTAAAAGGCCTTTTTTCCCCAGCAGAGAAAGAGCATGGTAATAGGATTTCCAGTTAAGATGGTGGTAAATTTCAGTTTCCTCTGTGCCAAACAACAGGGATAGGAAAATCCCTAAAGACAAAATTAAAAAGACGAGTCACATCACTCAGGAGGTAACTTTCTGTGGGCCAGCAGTGGAACAGAAGCACAAAGGAGTGAATTGGTAGAAACCTGTAGGCCCCCATGGCTGTAGGAACTGAGGGCTTCAGTTTGTGTAGGATCACAGGAATTAGGCGAGATGAAGAGCCAGGGCTATGGTCTGTGTCTAAAACAAGGGTGGGGCTCCTCTGCCTTTGATAGAAAGTACAAAAAAGTTGACTGGCTTGCTTATTTATTTAACTAGTCAGTATTGTGGTTTGAACTCAGGACCTCATGCTTGTTAAGGCAGGTGCCCTACTGCTTGAACCATGCTTCCAGGCCAGTTGACTGTTTTTTGTTTTTTGTTTTATTATTGGTGGGACTGGAGTTTGAACTTAGGTCTTCACACTTGCAAAGGAGGCAGTCTACCACTTGAGCCACGTCTCCAGTCTATTTTGGAGATGCGGTCTTGAGAACTATTTGTCTGGGTTGGCCTTGAACCATGATCTTCCAATTAGCTAGAATTACAGGCGTGAGCCACTGGAGCTTGGCTTTGACTAGCTTTTTAAAAGCTGCATACCTGTAGAGGAAGCACTATAACACATACCTGAGGTAATCCACTTTATAAAGAGAAAAGGTTTATTTTGACACATGGTTTTGGAGATCTTGCTCAGAGATAATTGGCCATGTAGCTTTGGGCCTGTGGCATCACATCATGGAGGGAGTGTTGGCAGAGCAAAACCACTTACCTCATGGCCAAAGAGTCAGAGAGAGAGAAAAGAACGGACTGCCTTTCCCACAGGTCCCTTTGGGGGCATACTGCTAGTGGCCTGAATACTTCCCATCAGTGAGAGGTTGATGAAAAAATTGATTTAGTCAGTCAGTGGAACACCATGTAGCAGTTAAACTTAAGAGCTTGAAACAAAATGTGTTACAGTGCTTCCTCTATAGGTATGCAGCTTTTACAAAGCTAGTCAAGGCCAAGTGCCAATGGTTCATGCCTGTAATTCTAGCTACTTGGGAGGATCATGGTTCGAGATCAACCCAGGTGAATCTAGTAATAAAGTACCTAAAGATTACATATAGGAAGAAACACTTTTCATGAAGTTAGCCAAGCAAAATGTATGCTCTTTTAGGAATACATGTAGATGTTAGGCAAACAAGAAAGCAAGCAACAAAGAGCATAGGATTCAAGGTAATGGTCACCTTAGCTTGGGAGGCCAGGGAGACTGGGAGTAATGGGCAACCATCTAGTCGGACATATGTTAGGATAAAGGGGAGTTGAGTGATGTTTGTTGTATTATTAGTAAATACAAATTTAAAAGTGGTTGATGCATGGACCAAAGGTGAAATTGTGTTATGAATGAAGGGTTGTGGCATTCTGAGGTCTTCTCCCCATGTCCCAAAAAAGTCAGCAAGGCTTCATTTCTGAAACTCTCATAGCCATATGAACTGAAAAATGTTCTTGCTGGAAAATACCTTCAAATACCAGATGAATCTTCTGTGCTTATCCACAAAGGCAAGAAAGTAATGAACCCAAAACACATAGGGTACTGAAAATCAGAGTGAAAAGAGGACAAGGAAGCCACGGCAGTCCTGACAGTGTTAGGCAAAGTTCCCAAATTTGGAGTCTAACAGATAATAACAAAGGCTAGGGTATGGAGTTAGAATAGAGAACCTACCATAAAACTGAGACCTTGAAAGGGTTACACCCTCAGTAAAGGTGTAGTGAAAGTGCCAGACCTGGGGTCTGGCATGATGGCACACACCTGTAATCCCACTTACTCAGGAGGCAGAGATAAGAAGGCTTGACATTCAAGCCCAACCCAAGCAAAAAGTTAGGGGGACCCCATTTTAGCAAATAAGTTGGGTGTGGTGGTTTGTGCCTGTCATCCCAGCTACATGGGAGGCACAGGTAGGAGGATTGCCACCCAAGGCCAGCTCCAGCCAAATATGTGAGACTCTATCCAAAAAACAAGTAAAAGAAAAAAAGACTGAGAACATGGCTCAAATGGTAGAGCCCTATCCTAGTATACTCAAGGCCATGAATTCAAACCCTTAGTACTGCCAAAGAAAATAAAATTATTCACAACTGAAGGTTGATAATAGAACTTTTTCTGTCTGCACAGGAGGAAAAAAAAAAGGCCTCCCCTGAACATTTCTAATGACAGGCCTTCATTCGTGTTAGAAGTTTGTGTTTGCCCTGCTTACCTGATACTTTTTTCTAGGGCACCCCACAGAAACCATTGCACATCCTCTCCAGAGCCCCAACTGAGTTCCTGTCAGGTTCCCACACATTTGTCCCAGGTGAAGTTGCCAAAATTACCAAAAAAAGACTCCATTGTGAGTAAGAGTGGAGATAACAATAAGCAGCTATGTCCAATATCTTGAATTCCGGTAGCAGAATTACTAGATAATACAAGATATATTGTTGTATATACAGTAAATATGTTACACAAGAGGGACTTGAAGAGCACCTGTCTAGCAAGTGTGAGGCCCTGAGTTTAAACCCCAGTACTGCCAGAACAAAAAAGAGGGACTTGAAAATCCATTGTCACAAGATGAGACATATTTTTAAAAATATTCAAAAAGAAGAGCTAGAAATGGAAAGAACACTCCAATAAAAAAGTTCTTTGGGTTCAATGACCTCTTAGGCTAAGGAGAATTAACATACTGAGCAGATAGTTGAACAGGTTACTTAGAATGCACTTCAGATAGCCAAAGCATGAAGTGAAAACAATGTCAAGACAGGATGCAGTCTGAAGGACTCACATTGTCTTACCCTGCACTGCAGAAGGAAGGAAGAGGGCAAGTGGTGAACCAGTAGTAATGGTGGGAGACTTTCAAAACCTGTTGAAAGACATGAATAAGAATGTGTAAACAGATTTTTGAGGCAGAGAAACAGAAGGAAAAAAACACCTGTGTACACAGTGGTAATACTTCTGTTTAAGACTAGTTCTTAAAGGAGTCAGAAAGGACTACCTATGAAGGAGCTGCAGTTAGCCTACCTTGTTATATTCTCAACCACAAAATTAAAACCCAGAAGATAGTGGCACAGTATATTCAAGGGGCTTTAAAAAAATAATCTCCAAGCATGCATTCTAAGGAAAAAGGGTGAAGTAAAGAAAGACCTTTCAAACAACTGCAATCTTCATACATTATAAATATCACCCTTTGATGATGTTTTGATGTTTTGAGGTATTGTTGGGTAATGGCTTTTAGTTATGTTTATTTAGGCTTAGTATATTTACCGTAAAGTTTTGAGTACTTTCCAGATGTTGGCTCATTTAAACTTTATGATAACTCTGTGATGTATAATGCCCACATTTTATAGCTGAGGGAGTGGAATCAAGAGACTTGGGATACATATGTGACAGGCTGGCTCCAAAATCCCTGCACTTACAAAAAACTACTCAGAAATACTTCTAAACTCACAGCAATAAAAATACTAGAAAACACCTGTGTACCCTTTGCCCATATTCACCAGAAGTACCATTTCATTCCATTTGCTTTATTGTTTGCTTTCAATTAGATGTATACTGTCACCCAAGTCTTTTGAGAGTAAGTTGCATTTGTCATGGGCCTTTACACCTAATACTTCATTTTGTATTTCCAAAGAGTAAGGATACTCTCTTTCGTAAATACAGTATCAGCCTCAGTGAATTGACTGTGGAAGAATACTGCCCATTTTCCAGTTTCGTCACAGTCATTAATGTCTATCACTAGTGATTTCCCCTGTATTCCAGCCTTTAGATCATGATCACGCCTTCAGTTTAGTTTTCAAGCTGTTTGCCATAGTTTCCCCTTTAATCTGGAAATTTTTTTTTGTAGTACTGGGGTTTGAACTAGGGCCTGGTTCTTGCAAGGCAGGGGACTCTACCACTTGAGCCTCCCACCACTGGCATTTTTTGCTTTATTTTTCAGGTGGGATCTTGTGTTTTTACCTGGGCCAGCCTTAGACTCTGATCCTCCTACCTACAGCTTCCCTCACAGTTGGGACCATTGGCAGGAACTACCATGCCTGGCTAATTGATTGCGATAGGTCTTGCTAACATTTTTTTTTAAACCTGAGCCGTCCTCAAATTGTGATCCTCCTGATCTCTACCTCTAAAGTAGTTGGAATTACAGATGTGAGCCACTGTTCTTGGCCTACAACAGTGGCATTTCTGAAGAAACAGTGTTCATGCCTCTGCCTCTTTTAAAATTAGTGTGCTGCTCATTTTGGATTTGTCATTTCTTTGTGGGTAGGCGCAGGTTGTACTTTCTCCTATGGAGTACTGCAGGAGATACTCTATCCTTCTCAGAGTGTCATGCATAAACCATACCCTTTGCCCCTCACAATAATGTTAGTTGCCCATCTGGTCAAGATGTTTTCCAAGTTCTCCACTAACTCCAAGGTGCTTTAGACCATGCCGTTCACCACAGTTTCCTAAGTTTAGCATTCACTGGTGCTTCTCTAGCTTACAGTTGTCACTGGTAGTGATTTCACTGCTTTCAAGAGCTTTTCTGCTCTCTCTCTGTAGAGAGTTGTCATTGGCATTTGAACTTCAGGTTCCTGTTTGTGTGGTTCCCCCCTGTAGTTTATAATCCATCACTTACATTGGCATATCTGTTAGTTCTGTTTTTCAAACTTTTTGACTATAACCTCTAGTAAAAGTATTTAGTTGAGTACACAGATGTGTCTGGGTGCATGTCACAAGGTATTTCAGAAAACAATGCTGTTACTACAAAGGATACAGTCTGGTGTTTTGGTGGTCTATTTTAGATTTTTAAAGGCTGGTTGTGATCACTGAATTTTATTGATAGCCTCTCACAAATTTAAAATCACTTCTGTATTACACTGCCTTTTCGAAGTAACTTTGATTTATTTTTGTGATTCCTTTTTTCATAAACATTCTATTATGCGGAATTACAGACATACAACAGGAGAGAGAAGGGTATAACGAATACCCCTCCCCATGTATCTATCAGCTACATCAGTTATTAGTATTTGGTCAACCTCATATTCCCTTTGGATTAGTTTAGACCAAATCTTAAATATCAAAGCATTTTTTTGAAGAATTCAGATAGAAATTATTAATTTACTGGGCAGTAAAGTAAGAAAAATCATAATTTACATTTTTTAAGTATTTGTTCCTTTTATTTTTACAAATATTTTTATTAGTATATATTAGTTGTACAGGGGTTTCATTGCGACAGTATTAGAACATTTTCTCTATAAAATATTTAAATACACATGCTTCTAAAAGATAAGAGTTTTTTTAAAATACCATTTTCACACCTGACACAGTAATTCCTTAGTATTTCCTGTCAATGTTTAAATGAATGGAAATCATTGTTTCATTATAGAATAACTCCTTTAGTTGAAATCAGTATTAAATAAATTACACACATTGCATTCATGTATTGTGCCTTAAAATACATAGATTCAGTTTTTTTATCCATGTTGTCGCTGTATTGTAGCATTGTTAGCTGATTGAACGTGTTATGTTACTCATTTAGGTTCGGCGTTGGGCTATCCTGACTGCAAGAAACTTGGGAAAAGTGGACAGAGATGATTATTACGACTTACAGGAGGTTTTAACCTGCCTTTTTAAAGTCATTGAGTTGGGGCTTCTAGAAAGTCCAGACATTTATACTTCTTCTGTCCTCAAAAAGGGAAAACTGATTCTTCTGCCTTCACACATGTATGACACTACCAACTATAAAAACTATTGGTTAGGTGAGTATTATTCCTAATTAGGATATTCTTGAGTGTCCTGTGCCATGAGTGTCCTGAAAAAGAAATGACTGCTTTTGGTGATCTGTTCCAAATTGCTAAATCCAGAATTTCATGTTCCCTGGTTTTTGTTCTGTCGTTATATTGGCTTAATCATTATATATCTTATTTAGTAATAAGCTCTATAGTAATTTATCCTCGAAACCTGTAGAAGTATATCTTCAAGCATGGCAAGTGAATCCTTTGTTTAAAGTAATACTAGAATAACAAAACATCAGTATAGTAGTGACTTTAAGTTGGGTTTGATTATTGATAACTTCTTTTTAATGTGTAAAGTATTCCCAGGTAGAAAGAGACATTAGCATTGTTTGGTTTATAAGTTCTATACTGACTCAAGATAGTTAGTTGTGCCCTACTTCATCAGTTTCAGTTCAAGTGTCAAAGTAGACTTTAGTTTTTGTACTTCCTTAGTATATGACACATCTAAAAATTGAAGATATCATATACTTGGGGGAGATACAAGTTACGTGGTAGTTATCTTAGAAACTGTTTTCCCTTTTGCACTCAGAGTAGTCAAAATAGTACCTGGGAGGAGATAGGCACACGTCTCAGACTTTAAATGCTTGTGGAACTGAATTCTGTTTTGCTTCATCTTTCTGCCCTGTTTTCCTTTTGCCATTTACACCAGATATGGCATTGGAGCAGTTTATTTCATCAGAAAACTGTGAATAATCTTACAGGTATTTGCATGTTGCTGACCATTCTTGAGGAGCAAGCCATGGATTCGCTGTTGCTGGGCTCAGACAAACAAAATGATTTCATGTGTTCAATCCTTCACATGATGCAGAGGCAGTCAGATGGTAATGCACTTTACTTGCTTTAGGACTGTGATGATGCACTTCTAAAATGCTAGTCACTGTAAGAATTGGGGTATAATGTAGTGTAGAGAAAAGAAGTATTAACTATTTTATGGTTCGGGTCACACATTCAGAGTTTTAAATTGGAAAGGACATTTAGAGTTTAATTCAGCACCTTCATTTGATGGAGGAAGTAAGTAAACCCCAGGATTGCTGGTTACTTTTCCATGATGAAGCAGTTAGAATGAAAAGCAGAACCCTGGGAGAGCCATTTGTAAAGGTGTGGTAGTTAACACTGAGGAGTGCCTCCTCTGGCTTGCTGATTCATTGTCCCTTACTTCTCCAGGGTCACAGTGCCTAATGTAACAATGGCCAGCCACAGGCAGTTATTTAAATTAAAATTAAAGATTCTGTTTTTCAGTCCCATTAGCCATATTTCAGGGCTCAATAGCTCCATGTGCTTGGGGCGCCTGCATTAGACAGTACAGATCCAGACATTTCCATCATCACTGGGACAGTGCTAGAAAGTAAGACCTAAGCCAGGCATGGGGTGTTTGCCTAATCCCAGCACTCGGGTGGCTGAGGTAGGAGGAGTGGGAGTTTGAGGCCAGCCTAGGCCACATACAAGGTCCTGTCTCAAAAGACAAAACCAAGAATAAGGCCTAAAACTGGTGCTCATGTATTTTAATAGACCCTAACCTTCTATTGCTGGTGGTTGCAGCAAGCTACTCATGGAGAATCTGTGCTTAAATAAGTTTCAAATCTTTATGAAGAAGGAGTGATGGGTAAAGAAAGGGTGTGTCAAATCCTGTGAAAGCACAGTGAATGTATTTCCCCTCCTCCATGTTTCTTCAGGCAAGTTGACTGTGGGCATAAATTTGTGGGCGATTCTGAAAGAAATATATTAATATTACTGTTTTGTTGGCACATATTTTCTTGCTAGATTATTCCTGATTAAGGGTATTGCTAATTCATTTGCCAGCATTTATTGCACAAATTGCTCATTTCTTTCCCTGTGTCTTACTGCACTTACATGTCTGTCCTTTCTGTTAACCCAATTCAGCTACCTTCTTCAAAATGTGAGTCACCTCTTTAAAAAACTGTTTGTAATTCCCTTTACCTAACTACTTTCTTGCTTGAGGGTTTACTAAATACAAGGCACTGTATCGGTTGCTATGAAGGATATAAAAACATAAAAAGGTTTGCACAAATAACTGAGTGTTTGCCTATATGCACAAAACCCAGGGTTCGAGCTTTACTGCAAATGCAAAAGTAAAACACCCTGGGGTTTTAAGAGGTCTATAGGAAGTAAAGCTATAGGTTCTAGGGTGACTAAACATTATCAGTATCAGTGAGTTAAGCGCTTGTCTCCAAAAAGTACTGTAGGATAGTCCATGGCTGGGGAGGCAGGTAAGGTGGGCTTTCAAGGATGGATAGAATAGGACTTTGATAGGCAGTTCTAGTAGTGAAGGCATTCTATTGTTCCTTTTGGGAAAAGCCAGCAGTTTGTTTCTGTTTTAGATACTGTGTGGTTATGGGAATATGACAAAGCTGGAAGGATACAGTGCAGCAAGGTCTTGGAAGATGTTAAGGAGCCACCAAAGGTCTTTGAGTAGGGCAGTATCTTGCCATTGTATATTTGGTAGAGAAGAGGGAAAAGACTTGAGTAAGAGCTGTGAACAGCAGGAATTCTTTTTTCACAGTTGGATGAAAAGTAGGTAACAGACATGTTGATATGGATGAGATGCATAGTTGTCTTTTACCATTAGTCAAAAGGTTCAGTCCTTATGCTGCATAGAAAATGCAGGATATATGGCATAGAAAATTCAGACTCATGCTGAAGTAGAATTTCTTGTATCATGGGCCTCATCTCATGTAGGTCTGTGAATATCATCTCATTTTCTTTCCCTTTTTCCCTTTTTTTCTGTTGCTTGTTAGAGCTTAGGAATATAAAGTTCTGGGAAGGGTTGAGTTGTCGAGTAGGAAAGATTGTTTCAGGTGTGGCAAATAGGGTGAGAATGTTGTATTTACATTCTCCAGGACTGGAGGTGTGGCTCAAGTGGTAGGGTGCCTGCTTTGCAAGCCTAAAGCCCTGAGTTTAAACACCAGTCACACTAAAAAATAAAAACAAAACAAAAAAACCCCAATTTGTTCTCCATTAATTTTTTTTTTTTCTTGGCAGTACTAGAGTTTGAACTCAGGGCTTCTCACTTGCTGGGCAGGACTCTGCCACTTGAGCCATGTCTCCAGCCCTCCAATAAAAATTTTGTTACAGAGAGGTCATAGTATTTGAAAATTTGGAAAATTTACTAGCTTAAAAAAATGTCTCTAAAGGTTGGCATTACTGTACCTTAAATTATTTGCTGCTTTGCCTTCAGTGAACAGTGTTTAATTATCCATGTATTTTAGTATGTTTTTCTGATTGTTTTGTAACTCAGCATTTGCTGCATTGTATTTTAGATGATAGTATGGATCCTTTCTGGCCAGCGTTGCACTGTTTCATGGTGATTCTGGATCGGCTTGGATCTAAGGTCTGGGGTCAACTTATCGATCCTATTGAGGCATTTCAAACCATCATCAACAATGTGAGCTATAATAGAGAGATCCAAAATATACGGAACAGCTCTGTAAGGTTAGTTAATGTCAGGATTTAATCATCTCAGGTTGGGCATGGTGGTACACAGCTATAATCCCAGCACTTGAATGCTGAGGCAGGAGGATCAAAAGTTCCAGGCCAGCTGGAGCTACATTGTGAGACCTTTTTTGGGGGGGCAGTACTGGTGTTTGAACTCAGGGCCTTGTACTTGCTAGCTGGGCACTCTGTCACTTGAGCCACACCACCCAGTCCATGATACATGTTTAAAAAAATCTCTGAGGAAGTCTTTTGCAACTGACTTCACAAGGGGGCTTTTTCTTTCTTTCTTTCTGTTTTCTTTCTGCATTTCAGTAATTTCTATTTACTCTTAATATTTAAGGACCAAGTTAGAGCCGGAGCCATATTTGGATGATATGGTGACTTGCAGCCAGATTGTATACAATTACAATCCTGAAAAGACCAAAAAGGTATAAAACACTTTGAAAATGAAGATATTGCATAGACAGTGTTTCACATGATTAGTTGAAGGCTGATTGGCGGTGCATACCTCTGCTGAATCAGCTGCTGCGTAAAAGATCCGATTGAACAGCAGATGTGCTGTGCTTGGGGAGTGAGTTGTGACTTGTATGCACACTTAGAACATTTCTGAGCGCATTTAGGAAAGATGGCAAGTTTATAGGGTAGTGGGACAGATGATACAGCTAGTAATCAAAGCTAACTGATGACCAGGCTACCAAGACATGAAGGGATGTGGATTTGCCTTTTCATGAAACTTAAGTGTCAGAATTCAAATTATATTTTTTATTTCTTGGGGCTTTATATATATTAAGAAAAATATATAGTAGACCAAGATAGAAAAGTTGAGGGTTATGTTGCGTATTTTACAATTTGGGTATTAAACCTATCATGGTGCTTACTTACCTGACTGTTAAATATTTTTTTCATTGTAGGATTCAGGGTGGAGATCAGCCATTTGCCCAGATTACTGTCCTAACATGTATGAAGAAATGGAAACATTGGCCAATGTACTTCAGTCAGATATTGGTCAAGACATGCGTGTTCATAACAGCACATTTCTGTGGTTCATACCTTTTGTTCAGTCCCTCATGGATCTGAAGGATTTGGGTGTGGCTTACATAGTAGAAGTTATTCATCACTTGTACTCTGAAGTCAAAAATGTCCTCAACCAAACAGATGCTGTGTGTGACAAAGTCACTGAATTTTTTCTTCTAATTTTGGTGTCAGTGATTGAACTACATAGAAACAAGAAATGCTTGCATTTGCTGTGGGTTAGTTCCCAGCAGTGGGTGGAAGCAGTTGTGAAGTGTGCCAAGCTTCCTACCACTGCATTTGCACGGAGCTCTGAGAAATCATCTGGAAATTTCTCCAAAGGCACAGCAATGATTTCCTCACTGTCACTGCATTCAGTGCCATCTAACTCTGTACAGCTTGCTTGTGTGCAGCTAATTAGGAGTCTCCTCAAAGAAGGTTATCAGCTCGGTCAGCAAACACTTTGTAAGCGATTCTGGAATAAGCTTAACTTATTCCTCCGAGGAAATTTATCTCTAGGGTGGCAGTTGACTAATCAGGAAACCCATGAGTTGCAGACTTGTTTAAAACAAATTATTAAAAACATAAAATTCAAAGTACCTCAGTGTAGCCCTTTGGACTTGACTCCTTATAAAACCCCACCTGCATCTTTTAATGAAGAGAATGAACAAATAGAGAAGAAGTTTAAAAAAGACATGCTTTGTCTGGAAAATTGCAGCTCAACACTTTCTAAAGAACCAAAGAAAACAGAGACATACCAAGTGCAGGAGAGTACATTGACTAAAGGAGATAACATTGTAGAAGAAGAAGGTACCAAACAAAATTATGTAAAGGATTTGAATGCAGAACACCGTCTCTCAGCTGAGTTGAGCTTAAAGCGGAATAGTAAAGGCCTTTTTGCTAAAAGAGCTCAAGACCAGATTAAAATGAGTGCAGGAGAGCAGAAGTCTGTAAAAGAGAACTCTTCATGTACACCACAGAATTGTACTTCAAAAAATGGTTCCGAAAGGGGATGCGACAGAGGAGTAATAATATCAACATATTTATTGCCCAATTCTAGCACCGATTCTCTGGAAAAAGTGTCCACATCAAATGAGGATGATGTTGGTAAAACTTCAAAAGCAAAAACAAAGGCACAAAAAGATGAAATCTGTGCAAAGTTATCACATGTTATAAAGAAGCAAAACAGGAAAAGTACTTTGGTCAGTAATTTAGAGGAAAGTATGACTGTGTCTGACATTGAGAGCTCCTGTTCAAGGAAAGATACAGGAGGTCAGAAAGGGGATGGCTTTACACATGATCTGTCTTTAGACTCTAATGGTGTTCTGGATGATAAAAATGTAGAACAGAAGCCTCAAAGCAATTTGTTACTGAAAAGGAAGCAATTGAAGAATGAAGAGTTAGGTATTTTCTCAGCCTGTGAAAATAATTGTCAAATACAGGAATGTCATGTTGACAATAAAGGTCTGGTGTCGTTTACAGAAGTGACCAGTACTTTAGTGAAGCATATGTCTCCTTTTAAACATCCTGTGACTTTACTTGAATCAAGAGATAAGGACTTGACTAAGAGTACAGATCTGATTTCTTCTAATTTGGTGAGAGAACAGGCCCCTGGCATCAGTCCTAAGCCTGATATCTTAACAGATTCTCAGGTAGACAGAGACCTCCACAAATTATCTTTGATAGCCCAAGCCAGTGTTATTAAGTTTCCATCAGATTCAACTCAAAAAAGTTCATCTCAGCTACAAAGAAGAGATGGTAAAAGATCTTTCACAGCTAACCATAGCAATATTGTAGACACCTGCCATGGGCAAGTTATTGTTATTTCAGATTCTGACGACGATGATGATGAAAGAATTCCGGGTTTTGAGAAACACATTGAACAGGACAAAATGTGCATTGAGAAAGAATTTCCAGATCAGCCTGATTCAATGGTTAATACTGATGTAGAAAAGAAGCCTATAAAGGAAGAAAATACAAAGTCCCTTTTACAGTTTGAAGAATTGGATTCTCAGCTTTTTGAGTTTGAAAGTCCATCTGACGTGTTTTCAGCTTGGCAGAATCATAAAGTAGACAGCAAGAATTCAGTTGAAGAGGAGGAAAAAAGTTCGTGTGTGACTCATGTAGCTGATAGCACAAACAATAATTGGGGTTATGGTACAGATTATGTACCTGCAGAGGTTGTTAAAAACATAGAGGATATTGAAGAACGTGCAGAACCACACAGTAGTAGTGTTTCTGTTGAAGAGTTTTGTGACATTCCAGTAAAAAAACCTAGGAGAAAACAGTACGAAAAACCTATGGCTGAAGATCCTCAGAGGCCTTCATCATCTGTCAGAAATGAAGATCAGTCTGATAATGAGAGAGGGCGTACTGAAGATGCTGTAAAGCATGCAGGCACAGGAACTACAACTCCCATTTCAGGTGTTCAGAGAGCTGCTACGCTAAAGAAGTCTTCTCCAAAGCTTCGTACTTACTTGAAACCTGTTAGAAGAGTCCCAGTTTCCAAAACTAAGAAGATGCATTCAGATAATAAAAAAGGGCAGAGTAAAAGTTCAAGTTACCTAAGCTGTAGAATAACCCCTGCTGTTGTACCACCAAAAAAGTTTCGTCAGTGTCCTGAACCAACTTCAACAGTGGAGAAACTTGGTCTGAAAAAAGCTCCTCGAAAGGCTTTTGAGCTGTCCCAGCGGTCTTTAGAGTATGTGGCTCAATTACGCGATCATGGCAAAACTGTTGGAGTAGTTGATACCCCCAAAAAAGCTAAATTAATTTCTCCACAAACTCTTTCTGTCAGAAATAATAAGAAACTGTTGACAAGTCAGGATCTTCAGTTGCGAAGGCAGATGAAAACCAAATCACAAAAGAACAGACAAGAAGTGTTAGTTTATGAAAGTACAGAGGCTACAAGAGCAGGGCCACATGCAGTGCAGAATTCAGACGTCAGACCAGAACCTGATAGGCCATGTTATAAAGGAGCTGAGGTACTTGCCAACGGTAATGAAAAACAGTTAGTAAAAATCTTACCTTCTGAGTCAGAAACCATGAAAGCAAAATGTGATGCTTGTGTATTGAACCGGTGTGAATCTGGAGTGTTAAATGGAAGAATAACAACAAATGAAAACATTGTCTCAACTTCGGAGGACCCTTTAGGTGGAGGAGATGGAACAGGACATCGCATAGAAGTGGCAGCTCTCAACAAGGCAGAGCATGATTCCAGCAGTGATGCAGAGGATGACAACTTGTTTTTAACACAAAATGATCCTGCAGATATGGATTTATGTTCACAGATGGAAAATGATTATGATAAACTCATTGAAGTGATTCATGGGAAAGATACAGTTCAGGTAGAAGATTTTGTAAGTCGACCTCAGTTGGAGTCTTTGAGTGGCACAAAGTGTAAGTACAAAGACTGTGTTGAAACCTTAAAAACCCAGGGCGAGTACTGCTCAAGGCACTCAGAAACTAAAGTGTCAGATGAAGATGTGTTTCGTAAACCTGGCTTACCTCTTTCTGCAGTCAAGCCCTTGAGACCTTCCACTACTAAGATTTTTAGTTCAAGTAGTACTTCACGAATTGCTAATCTTTCCAAGTCTTTGGAAAACACTTCACTTCCATCAGCTCTAAAAAATAAAGCAACTGGGTTACATTCTATTTTGAAAGTGCCACAGCCCACTTCCATGGTGTCTCAGAAGCCAGTGGCTGAGGTGAAGAGCTTATGCAATGTTTTTAATTCTCAGACTCCAAATAATTCCAACAGGCAAGGTTTCAAACTTCCATTTGTTGAAAACAAACCTTTTTTATCTTCTTCTCCGGTAAATGTTCTGTGGACACCGCAGTTTATCTCTGACACCTTCATTAAAGAGGTCTTAAAATGGAAGTATGAAATGTTTGTGAACTTTAATCAGTGTGGGGCCCCGGCAAGTCTTTGTCAGTCCATCACAAGACCTGTGCCTGTCAGATTTCAAGATTGTGAAGAGTATTTTCATGTTTTCCTCCCTTTGATCATATTGAATACTTTCGAAACAGTAAGTATGCTTTAATTCTTTGCCTGTAGACTTTTCAAGTTGCTTCTTTCTTTTCTACCGAGTACTTAGAGGACAGTTAAAGTAACTGAACTGTTTGCTTGAGTTGTTGCTTTTTGATTTCATGTTGAACAGACATTTGTGCCAGACACAATTCTGGATGCTTGTGGTACAGTTCAGCCTTTGGCCCCTGGAGTTACAGGCCCCATTTAGGTTGCTGATGTGCCAAGTCCCTAGGTAGCACAGGAGGAAGTATTTGTTGATGTACAGGTAAGGGAACACTTCTTAGAGGAGATAGTCTCCCATCTTCGCTTTTTTTTTTTTTTTTTTAAAGTGATTTAGAGAGTTACTATGGTTTTCTTGAGAAAGATAGCCAAGGGTAAATTACGTTGAATGACGACAGAGCAATAAATCTGAAATTTCTCTAAGATGGGTCTGTCTTCCCAATCTCTTACTAGTCATGAGAACTCTTTCTAGCTGCCTTCCCAACCCCAGATATCGTATTCTGTCTCTTATCTCGTTCTCCTTGACAGGGTAGCCAAATAAAATGCAGAGTTCCTAGTTAAAGTTACTGATTCCCAGTTAAATTTGAACCCCATATCTGGGTGTAGACTTAGCCCCTTGTGGACTGAGGCAGGAAGATCACTTGAGCCCAGGAGTTTGAGGCCACTTTAGGCTACATAGGGTGTCACTATCTCAAACAAACAAAACCCCAGAAACACAGAGAAGCAGCAAATAACTCTTAGTGTAAACATTGAACTGTATTTTAAAGGATATTTTTGGCATTAAATTAAGGCACTGGCATAAATTTTTTGCTTTTTCAAATTTCTTTAATAAATGAGTATGTGGTGAGAGAACACGGGCTTAATGTTGAGGTAAATATTCATGAATTGATTCACCTAATGCTGAGATACCATTACATGCCGAGTGTTCTTACAGATCAGGGAAGCAAAGTGATTGAGACAGATAAGGTCTCTGCCCTTGGTGACTGTTTCAGATCGAGACAAGGGTTCTAGTGTGATCTAGCGTAAAGGGGATAGATAGGGTACTTTAGATGGAAGGACAGACAGCCTCTCTGAGCACATGGTTTTTACTGAGACCAGAGGAAGAAGAGTAGGCTGTGGGAGCATATTCAGGCAGAGAGGAGTGCAGAGACACTGGTGTTGGGAGGCTTGGTGTGTTGGAGGAAAGGAGATGTAATGCTCAGTGCAGGTCTAGAAAAGATGATCAAGTGGCAAGATAGATGGCTTTTTATAGAGCTTGAGTCAGTGCATTTTTAAAATGTACATCATACTGGGCATGGTGGTTCATTTCATTCCTGTAATCTTAGCTACTTGGGAGGCAAAGATCAGAAAGATTGTGTTCAGTCAGCCTGGGCAAAATGTTCGAGAGACACCCCCCCCCCATCTCAACAAATGGCTGGATGCAGTAACATGCGCCTGTTATCCCAGCCATGTGGGGAAGTATAAATAGAAGGATTGTGGTCCAGGCCAGCATAGGCATAAGGCAAGACCCTGTTAAAGGAACCAATGCAAAAAGGACTGGTGGAGTGGAGGGGCACAAGTGAATAGTGTTTTTGCCTAATAAGCACAAGTCCCTGAGTTCAACCCCCAGTTCTACCAAAAAAAATAAATAAATCACAAAACATGTTGAATCAATCATGTCACCTTATGCCCCAAAGTTTATCCATTTTTGTAAGGTCCTGTTCTTATTTCACACACATGGTATTTTCTATCAGCTAAGGTTATTAATAGTAGTCTTGAAAGTTACTTAGAAGTCTTCTCCCATCGTATCCTTCCCGTTTCCCCAGTTGGTTTTTCTTACTCATTTTAGTGTCAGTAGTTCTTTTTGTTAATTCCTTTTCTTCAGTTGGTTGAGTTCTGGTGGTCTACTCACATTTAAGAGCAGGAGACTAAAAAAGTAGATTGGAACATGATTCATAGTAGCAAAAAGAACCCAAATGTCCCTCAGCTTATGAATGAATAAGCAAAATGTGGTATGTCCGTACAGTGAAATACTCAGCCATACAAAAGAGTGACGTTCTGATGTCTGCTCATTGACAACCCTTGAAAATATTGTGCTGCTGAAGGAAGCCAGGTCCAGAAGGCCACTGTGTTATGATTCCATTCATCTGTGTTGTCCAGAATAGGCAAATTCAGAGAGACAAAAAGAGGAAAGTTGCCAGGGAATGAACAGAGGGGGGCATTGAGATTAACTGGTAAGAGGCAAAGGGTTTCTTTTGGGGTGATAGAAATGTGCAGGAATTAGTGGTGATGATTGTGTAACATAGTGAAAAACTATAGTACTAAAACCCACTCTGATGTATGCTTTAAAATAGTGAATTTAATGTTGTATAAAATATATTTCAGTCTTTTTAAATGTTAGAAAATGGTATATGCGAGACCCTAGTGGCTCACACCTGTAATCTTAGCTACTTGGGAGGTGGTTCCAGGTCATCCCTGGGGAAAACGTTTACAAGACCCCATCTCAACAGAAAAAGAAGCTGGGTGTGGTGGCGCATGTCACCAGTGAGGGCAGAAAGTGTGAAATAAGATTGTGGTCCAGAGCTGCCTGGGCAAAAAGCGATACCCGCTCTCCAAAACAATGAGCTGGAGGCATGGCTCAAGCAGTTGAGCACCTGCCTTGAGCATGAAGCCCTGAGTTCAAACATCAGTATCGTCCCCCCTTCAAAAAAAAAGAAAACTCAAAATTTGATAAATTTGAATAGCACTGAAAATGCGTAGGACAACAGATGAAGCCCTCACATTTTTACAAAAATGATCCTCTCTACAATTGTACCAGAGAAGTCAAATGTGATATAATCCCAGCTACTCAGGAGGCAGAGATTGGGAGGATCACAATTGGAGGCCAGCCTGGGCAAAAAGTTAGCAAGATCCCCATCTCAGTAAGCCAGGTATGATGGCGTGTACCTGTGATCCATCCCAGCTATGTGGGATTATAGTCTGAGCTTTGCTCCCAGCTGCAGGGGAAAACATGAGACCCTATCTGAAAGATAAAGTAAAAGAGGGCGGGGGCATGGCTTAAGTGGTAGAGCGCCTGCCTAGCAAGCTCAGCACCCTGAGTTCAAATCCCAGTGCCACCAAGAAAAAAAAAGTGTACAGTTTTTCTTTTCACAATTCTTGGCTTACAGCCAGAGAGGATTTTATGAAGAGGTGGGTCTGGATGTCAAGAAGATAATGCTTTGAGATGGGAACTAAAGCATGTGTGAGGAGAGGAGAGGTGAGGCTGGTGTGTGTGGAGTGAAATCAGGCAGGGAAGGAGAAGTAAAGTGAGATCAGAGAAGCAGTGAAGAGCTGGTGGCATGCAGCCCATAGGCTGCATTTTGAGAGCCACACTCAGCTCGCAAGAGGGTTTTGAAGACTGAGTTGGTAAGCGTTTATACTGGAGGAGTAAAATAATATGCACCTGATTGCATTTTTTTTTTAACTTTTTATTTATTTTTTTGTCATGGTACTGGAGTTTAAACTCAGAACTTTGCACTCTACCACTTGAGCCATGTCTCCAGCAAGTACCTTTGTTGTTTTTGGTTTTGACAGTACTAGGGTTTGAACTCTCTTGTGAAACACACTCTCTACTGTTGAACCATGCCTTCTGCTTTGGTCATATTTGAGAATAGGGTTTCATTTTATGCCTGGGCTGACCTGGACTGTGATCTTCTGTTTGTGCTTCCCTGAGTAGCTGGGGATGGCAGGTGCCAGCCATTTGTGCCCAGTAATTGGTAAAGGTGGGATCTTGCAACTTTTTGCTTGAGCTGTCCTGAAACCAACTCCCCATGTCAGCTTCCCCAAGCAGCTGATTACTGGCTGATCCACCACACCTGACTCACCCAGTTACATTCCTTACACATTGTTCTTGGTTGCTGGGTGAATCTGTAGAAAGACCAAACAGATGGAGCAGACCTGTGAAAGGGCTGTCCAGCAGCCTAGGAGAAAGATGATGGTGGCAGCTGTGGAAATGGAGATGAATGGAAGCATTGGGAGTGAAGTTTGGAGAGAGTGCTCACACAACTTTCTTACGCAGAGAATGTGGGAGTTGAGAAGAGAAGGCGATTCTGCTGAGAATGTGGGAGTTGAGAAGAGAAGGCGATTCTGCTGAGGTTTTTGGGCTTGAGCATCTGTTAGATTCTGATGTTGTTTACTCTCTTCTGCAAATTACATTGCCAAAGTCAGGGAGCATAGTCAGTGATGTCAGTTTTACACGTATTCTGAGAAACCTCTGGGGCAGTTTTAAGATGTATTGGGTTCCCAGGGTGGGAAGGGAATGGTAGACCAGACCAGGAAAATTCCAACGATGGGAATTAGAGTGGAAAAGAATTTTTAGGTTATCACATTTTCCTTCCCCTCATTACTGTGGGCTAAAACGCTATGCTGATGTGACCTTGTGGTTCATGGCAGAAAGCTGCAGCTAGCTATTGCAGGCAAAAGCAGTGGGTAGCGTTAAAAGTGGAGTTGCTAGCAGTAGCCATAGTTGGATTCCTTTTTTGTTTCTTTTTTTTGATACTGGGGATTGAACTCAGCGCCTCAAGCACTCTACCATTTGAGCTATTCCCCCACTCCTTCCTTTTATTTTTATCATGTTGTTGAAATAGAGCCTTGATGGCTTTTTCTAGACTGGCCTGGAACTTCCATCCCCCCTCCCTCCTCCTCCTGAGCAGCTGGGATTATAGGTGCACACCCCCATTTCCAGCAATTCCTTGATTCATGAGAGTTCACTTGTCCCCTCATATTCCTTGGGCTGGGTTATTGTGCTGGGGCTGGGGTGTGTGTGTCAGAATTTGGAAAAGATAAGTACCAGGGTAGACTCAGAGATCATAATAAAATGCTTATTCACTGGTGTACACCCCCCATTACTTCCTATCCTCCCTCATCAGCAGAGGCGCAAAAGCTAGATTGTCACTAGGATTTAGCCTGTTCTTAGTGTACCTTTCTAACTGATTGTAGTCCAAGTTCTTCATGTGACATGTAGTCGCTATAAGAGGAAAATATCAAACTAAGCAACATAGAATAAAAAATCAAAATTAGGGGAAGCCAGAATAAGATTTTTATCATAAGTGTATTGAACAGTTCTGAGAGTAAAACTATTGGCCTCAGTGCTTTTACGGTATCTGCTGATTTAGCCTGTTCTTAGTGTACCTTTCTAACTGATTGTAGTCCAAGTTCTTCATGTGACATGTAGTCGCTATAAGAGGAAAATATCAAACTAAGCAACATAGAACTAAAAAATCAAAATTAGTGGGGAAGCCAGAATAAGATTTTTATCATAAGTGTATTGAACAGTTTCTGAGAGGTAGAAACTATTGGCCTCAGTTGCTTTTACGGTATCTGCTTTAGTTTCTCTGCGTTAAGGGCAACAAATGCTAGCTAATTTTTTAGGTGTCTTACCTATCCTCACCCCTCCCTTGTGTGCTCTCGCTTTTATCATGTGCTCATAGTCCAATCCCCTTGTTGTGTTTGCCCTTGATCTAATGTCCACATATGAGGGAGAACATACGATTTTTGGTCTTTTGAGCCAGGCTAATCTCACTCAGAATGATGTTCTTCAATTCCATCCATTTACCAGCGAATGATAACATTTCGTTCTTCTTCATGGCTGCATAAAATTCTATTGTGTATAGATACCACATTTTCTTAATCCATTCGTCAGTGCTGGGGCATCTTGGCTGTTTCCATAACTTGGCTATTGTGAATAGTGCCGCAATAAACAGGATGTGCAGGTGCCTCTGGAGTAACAGTCTTTTGGGTATATCCCCAAGAGTGGTATTGCTGGATCAAATGGTAGATCGATGTCTAGCTTTTTAAGTAGCCTCCAAATTTTTTTCCAGAGTGGTTGTACTAGTCTACATCCCCACCAACAGTGTAAGAGGGTTCCTTTTTCCCCGCATCCTCGCCAACACCTGTTGCTGGTGATGTTGCTGATGATGGCTATTCTAATAGGGGTGAGGTGGAATCTTAGCGTGGTTTTAATTTGCATTTCCTTTATTGCTAGAGATGGTGAGCATTTTTTCATGTGTTTTCTGGCCATTTGAATTTCTTCTTTTGAGAAAATTCTGTTTAGTTCACATGCCCATTTCTTTATTGGTTCATTAGTTTTGGGAGAATTTAGTTTTTTAAGTTCCCTATATATTCTGGTTATCAGTCCTTTGTCTGATGTATAGTTGGCAAATATTTTCTCCCACTCTGTGGGTGTTCTCTTCAGTTTAGAGACCATTTCTTTTGATGAACAGAGCCAGCCCTAATTTCTTAAGAGAACCTTCTGGGGAACACAGCCATCTCATTATAACCAATGTATTTAATATATGTGGAGATACTTGTATGAGGCCATAATACCAAGACATTTGATCTGAAAAAAATTACACTTTATTAGGAATATTTAGTTTTATAGAATGCTCCATTCTCCATAAGTATTACTAGGAAAAAAAGAGGACTCCTACCTCGTTTGAGATTCTGTTGTTTAGATATACCTCATGTCTTTACCCATTCACTGGTTGATGGACATTTGGGTTGTTCTCAGGTTTTGGTGGTTGTGAAAAGTTCTGTGAACATAGGAAGCATTTTTGAAGATGATTTAATGACTTGTCATAGCTGTAAGGCACTGTGGATGTGAACTTAGGTGGAACAAACTGGTCATAACTCCCACCAGAGTCTCATGACCTCATTAGTAAATAACACACATTCAACAGTCTTTCCCCCATCCAATCCATGGCATAACCATTGTGGAGTGTCGGTTAACTTCAGTGCAGAAACAGTTCACCGTCACCACCAAGAGTCATTGGTGATAAGTTTCGTCAAAGGAACTGAAGGCCAGTTATAGATTTAAATACTTAATGACTGAAATGTTATAGTTAGGTGAAACCCTTCTTAAAGCCCAAAGGGTAAGTTTTTACTTTTCAATAAATTGAAGTGTAAAATGACATACTTATGCTAGTAGTCTCCTTTGTAAATTTGGGGGTCGGAGTAATCTCTTTTATTTCTCCAGAGATCCTCCAGGGTACTTCTGAGTGTGGGCCTTGGCAGTTGGAATATACAGAACTTGTAGAAACTGGTAGCAGAATGCTGAAGGTCTGAAACAGTCTGCTCATTTGGGATGTCGGAGGAGGAGCTTGTTGGGAAGGAGTGTTCTGCCAGTGCCATCTAGAAGCACTTTATGTATCTGCAGCATACTACCTTACCATAGGTGGCTGTTGAGCACTGGAAAAGTGGCAGTGCCACCTGAGGAATTTTTTAATTTTTAGAATTTTAACTAGCAAATTTAACCACGTAGCTAATGGCTACTGAGTCACATGGGCAATTCTAGACAATTTCATTAAACTGCACAGATTTATTTTTGGTTGTCACTTGAGATTCTGGGTTCTGGACTGATTTTTGCCTGCTTTGGAAATTTTTCGTGTTTAGTAGTCTTTCCAGAATGTTCTGGATTTTCTTAATTTGTATTTTTGCTTTGTATAGGTAGCACAGGAATGGGTCAACTCTCCAAGTAAAGAGAATTTCTATCACTTGCATTTAAGAAAGTTTCCAGCTGATTACAAAAAACACTGGGAGTTTGTGGGTAAGCTCTTTTTTACTTATGCAACTTGGAATGTATGATAACAGTTGGAGGTTTCTGATTAAAAAGAGACACTATCTGCATTTTCTAAGCTAAATTTGCAACCTCTTAAAACAAATAGAGTTAAAGTCTTAGTGAGATGTCTACCGGGCCGTTATGAATACAAAACTCATGATGCTTTCTCCACTGTGTAATGAGAATGCTGCAGGCTGCCAGTCAGTGGAAACAGGGGCCGTGATAGAAAGTGAGTGAAAGGGGTTTAAGGGGGTGTGGCTGTAATACCTCTGTGGATTCTGAGTCAGTCTCCCTGGCATCCATATTCTTACTTCATAACTGGTCACTTGTTAGTCATAAATAAACCAGACATTCAAGTTCTTTCCAAATAGCATGCATAATTCCTCCACTTAATGCCCCTCCATTCTCCATAGGTCCACTTACAAAAAAAAATGAGCACATGTGAATATTTCTGGGAAAAGGTTGTAATATCAACCTGAAGTGAAATAAACCTCATCCACAGTTCCCATCTTTCAGAGATAATTCCATTAAAATGTTGTATATATCTTACCACCAGATTTTATATTCTCTTTTATAAATGTGTGTGTGTGTGTGTATCTGTATTTCTGATAACTACCAGAAAAAAACCCAGGACCTTGCATGTGCTTGGCAAGAACACTCTACCACTAAGCTGCATCCCCTTCTCCCTTGTTTTGAGATGGTCTTGCTAAGTTTTGCAGACTGGCATTGAACTTAAAATTGCCTGCCTCGGTCTCCCAGGTAGCTGGGGTTATAAGCTTGTACCACCATGTCCAGCTTATGTTACTTAAATTAGTTTGTGACATTTTTTCACAAACTTTTTTGACCTGATAATAGATGATTCTAGATACATGATATCTAACTGCAAAGAAAAACACAAAATTCCACACTTGATGTAGCTTGTTCGGTTTATTTTCATTTAATATATTGTCTTTTCAATGTTATTTTTAAAAAATCAGTGTAATAGTTTTCGCTATTCCATTGTAAGCATATTCCATTGTTCATTTGACCTGTCGTCTCTAGTTAGAATGTTTGTACATTGTTTATACCCATTTTTCACTACCATAAGACACAGTGAATAAGTCCAGTCACTAGATTAAACCATGTGGGGAGTGGATTATGGAAGCCTATGAGAACTTGACATAAGCACAAACTCATGCTGAGTTTGTGGCATGGTCACAGGAGGGGGCGAACACAAAATGCAGCATGGCTGCTTTTCCTAAGATGTATACATTCAGATAGTAGTGCAGGTTTCTCCTGTTACAATGTCATGCCCCTCCCTGAGAACTGTTGCTCCACCTCCTTGTTTACCACTGTATATAAAATACTCCCTGAAAGAGGACATGGTTGATTGGTTGGGGATTGGTTGAGAGTTGTTGATTGATTGGTTGGCTGCTTGCGAGAGGTGGAAGCTACTGCCTGGGCAGCTTGCAAGCAGACTGCCACTGAATGATACGGCTGGCTGCTGCTGCTGCTGCTGGCTGTTGTGTGTCTGCAAGTCTGAGGGCCAAGACTTTAAGAGAATTTAAAGAAAACACAGGACAGAGCAAGTCTAAGGAAAGAGACTTTAAAGAATAGAAAAGAAGAAAGACTTTAGAAGTAAGGTTTTAAAGGTTAGAGAAAAGAAGCAAAGTAAAAGAAAAGTTAATAGAGGAAAGAAGCAACAAGGCTGTTGTGCGTCTCCATCCCAGCACCTAGCACACCTGATCCCAACTTTATGCACGTCTGTCTTCTGTTGTTTGTCCTTTCTGCATCTCTAGTCACCCCCAGCTAGGTCAGGAGGACAGGAGCATGAGCGAGCACACAACAAAACCACATGCACATTTTAAGAGTTTTGATTCATCTTGTTTATGCCTACCAAAAGGAATGCCAGAATGTAAAGATGTGTAGTCCTTTCATTTGCTAAATTAAACATTTTGGTGTCAATTTTATATATAGAAAATGTTCAAGATTGTAGTTTTTGTTTCATAGTTCTTGCTGCTTATTTGTGTTCTTGGGGATGTTGGGTTAGTTGCCTATTTATGCTCCTTCCCTGCCTCTGTCTCTGTTTCTTCAGAGTGTGTTACTGAAATTTTTTTCAATTTTATTATTCCATTTTGAGCAATTTTTGAGGCATAATTTTTACCTTTATGTATTCAAAACTATCATGTTTATTTCTTTGATTACATTACACATGTAGCTGCAGTAACCACAAAACATAAAGCCACTGTGAAAACAGGATGCACCCACACACCTGTTTTACATCTCTGCAGATTTATTAGACAATTAGCAGCAAATTGACCTTATACAGGATTATTATTACAGTAGTTATGTGCCAGCTCTTTCCCAGTATTGTGTCTATTTAGGCTTTGTAATAGTTTTTAAGAAAAAAAAATAATATTCTGTAATTGATGCTTAACATTTTTATTGGATTAGACCTTTTTTTTTTTTTTTTTTTTTTTGTGGCACTGGATGGGGTTTGAACACAGGGCCTCACACTTGCTAGGCACAGTAGGCAGGCACTCTACCACTTGAGCAACCGCCCCAGCTGGATTAGACCATTTTTAAGCATATGAAGAATGCAACTTATCTTACTTAAAATCTGTTGGTTTTATCAATGCTGGCTTCCTGTTTCACAGTCTATCTGGAGGAATGCGAATTGGCCAAACAGCTTCATCCAAAAGAAAACGATTTAGTGTTTTTGGCTTCTGAGAGACTAAATGGAGAGGCAGAGGACATGGAGAGAGATGGCATGCAAGATCCCCACCAGTATTACTCTGGTTATGTTCAAAAGTTTCGCCGTACTTCAGTCAGTAAGTAAACTTTAGTTGACAAAGGCCATCTTCTCCTGACTCCCCAGATTGCTCCTAGCCCTGTATTTGCTGCATACTTACCAAATAGACATTTGCTGTGTTGATTACTTGCCTTTCAAAATTCCTTTTCTAGTTTTTATAGACCAAAGACCGTGTACCTATTGCTATAGCTGTGAGCTGTGTAATTTAAAAGCTTTCTTTTATATCTTCTTGGGCATTTCTTTATCTGACATTGTGCTTTATAATACAGACCATTTGCAAACCATCTGTTGCATCTTTTTTTTGTTTGTTGTTTTAGTTTTTTTTTTTTTTTGCAGTACTGGGGTTTGAACTCAGGGCCTCCACCTTGAGCCATTCTACCAGCCCTTTTTTTTTTTTAAATTTATATGTGCATACAATGTTTGGGTCATTTCTCTTGCCTTCCCCCAGCCCCACCCTTTCCCCCCCACCCCCTCACTACCAGGCAGAAACTATTTTGCCCCTATCTCTAATTTTGTTGAAGAGAGAGTTAAACAATAATAGGAAGGACCAAGGGTTTTTGCTATTTGAGATAGGTAGCTATACAGGGAGTTGACTACTTGATTTCCTGTGCGTGTGTGTCTTCTAAATTAATTCTTCTTGATCTCACCTTTTCTCTAGTTCCTGTTCCTTGTCCTATTGGCCTCGTCCTTTAAAGTATCTGCATTAGTTATCTGATTGAGGGCAAAATGCTATCTAGTTTTTTGGGTGTCTAACCTATCCTCATACCTCTCAAGTGTGCTCTTGCCTTATCATGTGATCAAAGTCCAATCCCCTTGTTGTGTTTGCCCTTGATCTAATGTCCGCATATGAGGGGGAACATACAATTTTTGTTCTTTGGGGCCAGGCTAACCTCACTCAGAATGATGTTCTCCAGCTCCATCCATTTACTTGCGAAAGATAACATTTCATTCTTCTTCATGGCTGCATAAAATTCCATTGTGTATAGATACCACATTTTCTTAATCCATTCATCAGTAGTGGGGCATCTTGGCTATTTCCATAACTTGGCTGTTGTGCTGCAATAAACATGGGTGTGCAAGTGCCTCTGGAATAACCTGTACCAGCCCTTTTTTATGATGGGTCTCTTGAACTGTTTGCCTGGGCTGGCCTCGAACTCTGATCCTCCTGATTTCTGCCTCTCGAGTAGCTAGTATTACAGGCGTGAGCTGCTGGCACCTAGCCTGAATAAACTTTTTAACTGGGCAGCCATTATTCATTGATAACTAAAATTGCTTTTTCTCCTTGATAATAGTGCGTAATGGGAAAGCTGAGTGTTCCCTTTCCATCCAGACCCAAGATAATTTGCCAGCCAATTTAAATGGACTTATGAAATGTATTGTAATCAGTTCCCTGGTAACTACCCAAAGGAAATTGAAAGCCATGTCTCTGTTGAGTGGTCGGAACCAACTGGCCAGAGCTGTTCTGAATCCAAACCCCATGGACTTCTGTACCAAAGATTTACTGACTACAACATCTGAGAGAATTGTAAGTGTTACTGTGCCAGGGAAAGTCAGAACATTTTTTTTCAGGATGTTTAAAAAAAAAAAAAACACATCACATTTTTTAGCTGCTATATACTTATGTATGTCTACAAGACGTGTTCATTGTGAATGTGCAGTGGTATTTAGTGTTAGTTCCCTTTAATACTGCAAAGTACACATTGAGGTAGGGAGCTTACCTTAGGGAAAGGTACAGGACAATAAAAAGTTGAAGATATGATGGAAAAACACCATTGAAATGTTAGATTATCATCTTAAGTGGTTTGTTTTTGTTGGTACTGAGGTTTGAACTCAGGGCCTCGCTTATTAGATGTGATCAGAATTCAGGAGTAGTGTCATGTTTACTGGAATGAGTTTTGCATTTGAATGACTGATGGAGAATTTGACTGGTATTGTTGCATTTTGCAAAGATGAAATTGCCATTTGGGTGGACATGTATTTTTCACTGTGGAAAGTAAATTCTATAAAATTAACACAGAGAAATGCAAAAGGAAATTCGTATTTTTGAACCCTGACTTTGTGCTAGGACTTTCATGCACATTATCTCGTCACTTCTTACTTAGGCAGGCGCTCCACCACTTGAGCCACATCCCCAGCCCTTTTTGCTTTGATTATTTTTGAGATAGAGTCTCACTTTATTGCCTGGGCCAGGCTGGATCCTCCTATTTACACTTCCTGCGTAGCTGAGAAGACAGGCACATGCCACTAAACCTCGCTTTTATAGGTTGAGATGTGGTCTTTTTGCCTGGCTGACCGGGAACCTTGATCATCCCAAATCTCCACATCCTATAACAGGTGTGAGCCAACAAGTGCCTGGCTAATTCACCTTTTAAGGAATCCAGATTTAATGAGTAACAGAAGGTGAGGCTCAGAAGGTAGGAGTCAGTGGCCTAATTGAGTAAACTGAAAGTTTAGACTCAATCTGACCCTAAACATGGTTTTTTAACTCTATGATAATTGTGTTAGCAGAGTACTATTGGGATATTTTACTGTCTAAGGAGATAGTTGTCAAAGACCGGGAACCTTGATCATCCCAAATCTCCACATCCTATAACAGGTGTGAGCCACCAAGTCCTGGCTAATTCACCTTTTAAGGAATCCCAGATTTAATGAGTAACAGAAGGTGAGGCTCAGAAAGGTAGGAGTTCAGTGGCCTAATTTGAGTAAAACTGAAGTTTAGACTCAAATCTGACCCTAACATGGTTTTTTAACTCTATGATAATTGTGTTAGGAAAGAAGTACTATTGGGATATTTTTACTGTCTAAGGAGATAGTTGTCAAAATGGAAAAGGGTAATGGGAGAAAGGTATGGATTAGTGAATGAAATTTATTATGATCCTGTTCGTAAGAATCACAGAAATAACAGTTGTTGTGTCTGAAGCTGACAGACACTAATTAGTAATTACTAACTAGCTTTCTTTCCAGTATTGGAGTGGTTCTTAGTCACTTTGGGGTCTTGCCTGACTGTAACCAAAGCTTTTGTGTGACATAGAGCGGGAGGAATTCAAACAGGTGTTTTTCATTATCATTTGTCACTACAGGGGAAAAAAAATCTCACAAATATCTTTTTATATAGATTGCCTACTTAAAAGATTTCAATGAAGACCAAAAGAAAGCAATAGAAACTGCATATGCCATGGTGAAACACTCACCATCAGTCGCCAAAATCTGTCTGATTCATGGACCCCCTGGAACAGGAAAATCCAAAACCATTGTTGGCCTCCTGTACCGCTTACTGACAGAGGTGAGTGTGAATGAAGATTCTGGTGCTGAGGGCTGGGGACATGGTTTCCCGTCACTTGATCTCAGTGACATGTAAATGAACTGCTAGATCAGGGAGAGAGGTGGCAGAGGGTAGGAAGGCTGTAAGAAGTAAAGAGAACAAAGCACTATCTCATGAGAAAAAGCCTAATGGCTAGGATGGTGGCATTATAGGTCACATCTAATGCTAGGAAACCATCTTGAATTGGCTAGGTGTTGGTTGCAGTGAGTATTGATTAAGTAAATGAATGGTAAAGTAAGGCTCCAAGCAGTTATGATAAATTTTATGCCAGAGTACCTTTGTTTTTTTGGTTGTGTATGTGTGTGTTGGGGGGAGCGGTTTAGTGATGCCATGAGTCGAATCCAGGGCCTTGTATGTACTAGGCAAGTGCTCTACCAGTAAGCTCTCTAGCCTCTCCTCCCCGACTCCACCACCAGACATAGGCCAGAGTAATTTTATTATCAGTGTAAGATACACTTTTATTTACTCTTAACTAGTCATTGCAGGAACTTTTAAATAGTTCATGGAAGTAGAGAAAACTGTAAAGCTATGTAGTAGAACTCATTATTGTTTGTGTGTGTTTATATGTGTGTATGTGGTAAATTGTAGAACCAGAGGAGGGGGCATTCAGATGAGAACTCCAATGCCAAAATCAAACAAAACCGTGTCCTTGTGTGTGCACCTTCTAATGCTGCTGTCGATGAACTTATGAAAAAAATTATCATCGAATTCAAAGAAAAGTGTAAAGATAAGAAGAATCCTTTGGGTATGATACTTAACATGGGTTTCTAATTTGTTTTTGTTTTTAGAGTTAGTCTGGATAACTTTGAATGACAAAAGAACAAGCCAGTCCAGAACAAGCCAGTCCTGGTAATGATTTCTACCAGAGCTGTGGCCCATATGTACTTGATTCATTTAGCAGATACTCTATTCAACATTTACCCTGTGCCAGGCACAGTGCCACATGCTGAGGTTTCACCAGTAAATTCTCAAAGTGACATACAGTTTAATGAGGAAGTGGTCAGGTCAGTGGGCAGTTAGAGAAAAGAGTGATGAGTTCTACAAGGAGGCTAAAATGGGTGTTCTCATATACCTCTGAGGGATCCTGATTCAGTCATGGTAGGGAGAGCTTTTGAAGGAAGTATCATCTATGATGAATTGTGAGGGAGGGAGGGAAGAGGGCACTCAAGCAGAGATGGCTGTAAATAAAAAGGAACAGGGCAAGAGAATCTCAGGTAGTTCATGATAGCTAGAATGTAACAAGGTTCAGAATTGGAAGGGCTCTGGTTCCTCACTGGCATCCCCACTGCCTAGAACACTGCCTGGCACTCAGTTGAGGCTCAGTAGGTGTTTAGTGACTAAAGAGCTAGAGCACAGGAGTGGTGAAGGATGAGGATGACAGTAAGCATGGGCTCATTGAAAGCAGCAAAAACAATCAATAGTTTAATTTCTGAGAACTTACTGTGTCTATCCTATGAGCTGGGTGTTTAAATAACTCCACTGTTGATGGGAGAGAAGCTGAAGTATAGAGGTCAAGTACACTGTAGGAGTGACTTTATAGTCACACTCACATAATAGTGATAGCATTGCTCCAGATGATTTAGGACGCTTGAGTAACGATGTAAAGTAATTTCTGTTTACTTAGTCTTAACACTTTTTTTTTTTTTGGTGGTATGGAAGTTTGAACTCAGGGCCTTATGTAGGGGCAGGTACTCTACCACTTGAGCCATATCCACAGCCCTTTTTGCTATAAGTTATTTTTTTCCTAATAAGCTCTCATGTTTGTACCTGTGCTTGCCTAGACTGCGTGTCACTACACCCTGCTTTTATTGGTTGAGCTGGGGTCTGTCTCAAAACTTTTTTGCCTGGGTTGGGCTTGATTTTCCTATCTCTGCTCTTGAGTATGTAGGATCACAGGGTAAGGTAGCATGCCTGGCCAACATGTACTCTTCATATCTCTCATTTTGAGTGGTAGTGTTCTGACTTTGTGTTGACCTGCTTTCTCAAGTTCATATGTCTTGTATCCCCACCAAAGTGTATTTTCCCTTGGGATACCTGACACTGCCTTTTTATTAGTTAGGATTAGATTTGGTTGTATTCCTAATCTAGTGGCTTAAATACAATAGAAGTTTTTTTTTTTGTCCAATTCAGAAAGACCATACATGACTAGTTAAGGACTGGTATCAGTTACTGGCTCAGACTGTCTTTGGAGATCCAAGGTCCTGCTATCTTGTTGCCCCAGTGAGTGTAACCTCTATTTCTTAGTGTACTTGGTGTCAGGCATAGTTGTGCAGCTCCAGGAATCACATTCACGAAGCATGAGGAAAGAATGAAGAAGTGACAATGGGACATATGGGAAGGTTCCTAGAAGCTGCCAGTAGCACCTGTGCTTATTTCCCTTGGACCAGAAATTACATGACCACACCCAGATACAAAAGAGACTGACACCTGTGATCTTTATCTTTTCCCTTATTGCACATGTGCTCTTTGAGCTCATTGTCAGTCTACAACTTAACTTTTTCCATTTGCCATTAAGTCTATAAGATGATTCAATGTATAGCTGTAGTCATTCATAGTAACAGCTATAGGGTAACCTCATTATATATGAATTCACAGTACTTTATCATTAGTAGCAATTTGGGTTCTTGTCAGTTTTTTTATTTCAAACCTTACTGTGGTGAATATTCTTACCCTTTAGGATATTTCTCCAGTACAGATGTAAAAACATTTACTGCCGTGATGAGTGAATCAAATAGATCTTATAGCACAACAGTTAAAAGGAGTCCACCAAAGCCCAGAATTTGCAGTCATGTCTCCTGTACATGCAGCATTCTAGAGCAGTGCTTTTCAAACTGTGGCTTGTGATCAGTTGGTAGATAATAACACAGAAGGAAAAATGAATAAAATAGAGAAGGAAATAGAAAAAAATCAGGTATAGGATGTGAGGGCAAATACTGTCTTGTCAAACTTGCTTCTGTTGCGAGGTATCTGGGAATGTACCGGGTTTTGACGTAAAGTGTACAGCATGCTATAGGTCAAGGTATACACAGTTTCTGAGAACACTGATCCTCTGACATGTGCATGTCCACAGGTAAAAGTCAAAGGTTGAAGGGTTTGTACATCTCAGTCTTCAGGTAGTGCCAGCTGCCTCCTGAAGGTGGCTGTGCCAGCTGGCACTCAGCAGTTCCTGTGCAGTGTGCAGTCGGTGCCTTTCCCTGGCTGCACAGGTTAAGCACTTCTAAATTGTGTGTGAGGACACAGATCATCGATTTTATTAGTGTTTTGTGTTTTGACAGAATAGGTTTTTATGTCTTGTTTAAATGTTTAACGTCTTTACTGGTTACAAATGTATTCAAGGTTTATTGTTTTGAGTGAGTTTAGCTAATTATTTTCTCATTTTAAAAATCTCAACTGTATTTATGATTGGGTCCTCTTTGTCATCATGTATTTAGTTCCCAAATCCACATGTGGCATAGACCAGTAGTTGGAAAGCACCAGAAGAATTTTCCTCTGCTGAGCGCAGGCCAAATAGATAGGCTGTGTGGCCTCCACCTCTTCTAAACCACTTTCCTTTCTGGTGGACATTAAAATCCAAACCTCTGTTACAGAGATTCTGTATTTTATTAGAAGGGAGATCTTTGTCAAGTTTCATAGAAGTAAAGATTTCTTAAGTCTCTGGATTTTACCAAATGTAGTCTATACCTCACTGCTACTGATTTAAAGAGCAAAACAGATGCTCTGGTACCTAGACACTGACCACTCCTCCTGCCATACCCTGCTCCCCTAGGAAGCCACACAAGTTCTGTGCTTTTAGGTCTAGGTTTCAGTTGGCCCCTAGGAATTTCTCTTCGGTTTTTGAGTTCACCATACAGTGAAAAGATGCCTGTTATAATTGATGGAGCATTTCTGCATATTTAGAGTAGGTGTTATCATCTCTCCTGGTACGGGTGAGTCAGGCAGTTGCGAAACCCTTTAAGTGCATGTTGGCAAAATTTTTTTTCAATTAACAGAAAAAAATCTGACTCAATCAGCCATTTTACAAAATTGAGTATTGAAAAAATAAATAACATAAAATAAGACAAAAAAAAAGTGCTGACCAGAGAAGATGGCCTCACATGTAGGAGAATGAGCTGACTAGAATCATAAATATGGACTAAAGATAACTGTGTAAATAAGCCAGTCATTTAACACACATTTAGTGTTTTAAAATGTTATTCTGAGTGATTTGCAAAAAAGGATTTGATGGTCAAATAAGGTAGCATTATGAAAATTTAAATACATAATAACAAAATTCCATGAATATTTTGTGGTTAAGAAAACTGCTTTATTTTAATTCACCATTCCATAAATATTTTGTCGCAGAATGTTGTACAGAACTTTTCTTTTTTTGGTGGTGGTACTTGGGTTGAACTCAAGGCCTTGCGATTGCTGGATAGGCACTCTATACTTGAGCCACTCTGCCAGTCCTCAGAACATGATTTGTGAAAACATTAGGATAATGGAATGTCACCCCTGCAGTGTACTGTTTGTGTGACCTTGCTAACTTGTATTACTTAGAAGTGATAAGTACTTGCAGGGTTGTTAGGAAGATTATCAAAATAATGTATAAGAAGTCTTTAGTGCAGTTCCTGTATTGATAGGTTCTGTTTTCTTCATTTACAATTGCCTAGAAATACTCTGTAGGTAAAATTTATTGGAAATGTCCTTATTAGTCTTTACGTGTGATTTTCATCAACAGGAAACTGTGGAGATATAAATTTAGTACGACTGGGTCCAGAAAAATCTATTAATAATGAGGTTCTAAAATTCAGCTTGGACAGCCAAGTTAACCACAGAATGAGTAAGTACTGATAGTGGTGCTTATTAGTGTTATCTCTGTTTCCTTTCGTATGGTTAAAAGTGACATGGGCACTAGGGGTAATTTGGAGAGCCTAGAAAATAGTCTAGCTTTGGGAAGGAGTTTTCCTTCTCATTGTGTTTGTATATATGCATGTGAGTTTATTATAACTAATGTGATTTTTTTAAAAATTTATATTAGAAAAAGACTTACCTTCTCATGTTCAAGAGATGCATAGAAAGAAGGAGTTCCTAGATCACCAACTAGACGAACTTTCCCGCCAGCGAGCTTTGTGCCGAGGTGGACGGGAAATACAGGTATCTAAACGTTTCCTATCTCACAGTCTTTCAGTAATAACTCTTAGGTACATAAATGAGCTGAGTATTTGACATCATCCTTTCATGGAGAATGGCATGATTCATTCACACATAAAAATGTTTATGAGTAGTAGTATGCCTATGTCAAGAGTTAGCAAACATTTGTCTTTGAAGGAAAAGAAAGTCATTATTATAGGTGAGGTTTTGTGGGCCACATACAGTCTCTGTGGCAGTTACTTATTAACTCTGGTGTAGCTATAAAGCCGCCACAGGTAATATGTAAACAAGTGGATGTGGCTGTTTTCCAATAAAATTTTATTTACAAAAGCAGACAGTGTGTTGTTGAATTTGACTCAGGGCAAATTGCAGTATAGTAAAGCTACGCTGAATTTATTAGGTATCATTCCGTTGTGAGTTAAAGAAACCAGTTCAGATTAGGTTAAACAAAAGGAATTTACTGACTTCTGTCTGGGAAGGCCAGGAGTGGATTAGTTAGCCTCAGTATGGCTGGGATCCAGAGGCTCAGATGTTGTCATTTTCCCACTCCTTGATTTGTTTCTGTTTGTGTGTCAGCCATGTCTTGTCCAGGAAAACACAATGCTGGTTGGCATCTCTGGGCTCCTCTATCCTAGCTTAGAAAATCCCAGAGTTCTGTCTCCCAGCACCCATGTGTCAGTTCCGAGGACATGCTCTGATTAGTTCCTGGGTTGCCAAACAGGTCTAATCCTTGTTTATAAGGGAAAGGGCACCATGATTTCCCAGGCCTCTGTATTATGAGCTCATCACTGTGCTAAAGGAATGGTCGGGTTGTAATTGGCAACCTCATCTGAACCACCTAAAAATGAACGGAGAGATAGTGCTCCAAGGGTTGGCATGCTAAGCAGACAAGAAGGATAGATGCAGTACACCAAACATAGCTGAATCTTACACGGAGAACAGAACATATGTCAGTACTTAACTGGCTAGCCAGAGGCAGTGGCTCTCGTCTGTAATCCTAGCTACTTGGGAGGCTGAGATCAGGAGCATCACTATTTGAGGCCAGCCTGGGCAAAAAGTTTGCAAGACCCCATCTCAACAGAAAAGGGCTAAGCAAGGTGGTTCATGTCTGTCATCCCAGCTACAGCAGTAAGTATAAATTGGAGGATCATGGTCCAGGCCAGCCCAGGCAAAAAGGAAGAAGAGCGCTAGACAGGGGCAAAGCCTGAGTTCTAGGGGCAGTATCACACCTCCCCCAAAAAAATAAATAAAAAGGGAGAAAACAAGCTAGCTTAATAAGTTTGTCGTTGGAATAATATTTTTAGATTCTCCCCCTTTAGAAATGTGAAGCAGTGAATCGGAAAGCCTTCTGACATGCTAAGTTCACTTTTAACAGTGGCATCCTGGTTTCTTCCAGAGGCAAGAGCTAGATGGGAAAATTGCCAGGGTTTCAAAAGAAAGGCAGGAGCTTGCTTCAAAAATTAAAGAGGTAAGTAGCTCACCTAGCATTTTTACTTTTTTAATTGATGAAGTAGTTCAGACTTAACTTTATGAGTTACATTTTTTAAAGTATTATAAGAATTGCAAACTCCCACAAAAGTAGAGACAGTGATAGAATTAATTTATCTTCCTTAACTAAGAATGAACTCATATCACCAGCTGAGTTTTTGTTTGTTTTGATGGTGTTGGGGTTTTGAACTCAGGGCCTTGTGCTTGCTTGACAACCAGCCATCTGAGATTTCCAAGAAAGAGGTGATTATAAATGAATTTTTTCAAACTCTTAGGTCTAGGTAAATATGAAAAATCCCACTTATGTTCCTTCTCTTTCCTGCCTTCTGCAAAAATGTTACAATAATTGCTATCAGATGAGCAATCATAAAATAGGCTTGTGGGGGTTTTCCCTGTGGAAAAGAAAGACCACATGTGTGAGTTTTAGGAAGGAGGTGGCAACTGCATGGACTCTCCAGTGCTCTGATCCAGATAGAATTAGGGTGACTGGATCTTGGCGTAAGAAAGTATAGCCTGGCTGGGTGTGTGACTCAAGTGATAAGAGTGCCAGCCTAGAAAGTATAGCCTTGAGTTGGGTGTGTGGCTCATGCTTGTTGTAACCCTAGCTGCTCGGGAGATGGAGATTGAGCCAGCCTGGGCAAAAAGTTATCAAGACCCTATCTCAACCAGTGGTGGCTGGTTACGGTGACGTTGTGCCTTTCATCCCAGCTACACAGGAGGCATATGCAGAAGGATTGTGGTCTAGGACAAGCCTGGGAAGAACATGAGATCCTATCCAAAAATGACAGAAGCAAAACAGGCTAGGGCCATGACTCAAATAGTATAGTATCTCCCTCACAAGCACAAGGCCCTGAGTTCAAACCCTCCAGTACCACTAAAAAAATAGTCTTGTGGGTTTTTTTGCAGTTCTTGGCTTGGGGCATAGATTCTTTGTACTTGTCTTCAAATTCTGTAACACATATAGCTGTCCCCCAGTATCCACATGGAATTGGGTCCAGGAACACCCCTTCCACACATATGCACACATACATGAACGCACAAAGACCCAAACCCAAGGAGGCTTTTGCCTGGTACCTATTTGTGTCACCCGATACACCTCAGGTCATCTCTAGATTCCCTGTCCTACCTACTACAGTGTAAATGCTGTGTAGATAATTGTTGCATTCTATTTAGGGAATAATGACAGAGAGGAGTCACTACTACTTCAGCATCACTTAAGTCATGTTCCAAAAGTATTCTTTTTGGTAGTTTCTGACTATATTGGATGTTTCTGCTATTTTCTAAATTTGAGATTTCCCCCTAACTTTTGCCAAATTTTTTTCTGTCACACACACACAAAAATGGTGGGTGTTTTATAGTGAAAATAGGCCTGCTGTAATTAGAGGATTTCTGTACAAATAAATATGAACGATGTTTGTCTGCCCTAGGTTCAGGGGCGCCCACAGAAAACCCAGAATATCATCATCCTGGAGTCCCATGTCATCTGCTGCACACTGAGCACAAGTGGTGGCTTACTGCTTGAGTCGGCTTTTCGAGGGCAAGGAGGGGTTCCCTTCAGTTGTGTCATTGTTGATGAGGTCAGTGAGCAGTTAGCTAAACGGCTTTGCCTAGTCCTGTGAGGAGTAAGACATAGATGAATTTTGGCTACTGAGAAGTTGATCGAGTGGGTTTTTTACATCTCATTCTTAACCGCTATTACATGTGAGTTGTCTTAGCATTGAAACATGCTGCCAGTGGCCCACCATGACTAGAATTGCTTGTCTAGAATTAGGGTTATAATCCTTAGGGTAGTGATTGTTTCTAGCAAAAATCCCTGTGAGGAGTTAGTTAGCTCCTAGTTGAAATGTCTCGTTACCTTTTGAATTACTTACAACTTCAGACAGCTTTGACCACAGTATTTCCAACTAACATCTTTTATTCCTACTACATTCACTGAGCATATACTTACTGAGTGCCTACTGTTTATCAGAATGAAGTCAGAAGACAAAAGAAATGGAGCATTAGATACAGAGAATCAACTCAGGAAATCTAAGATCCAGTATTCAGACCCTATCAGTACACACAGTTGTATCACTTAACAAGTAAAAACATGTAACAATAATACTCACCAGAATGAAAGGACAGAAAAAGTGGAAGTGATGAAGTATGGGAGAAAATTTGATGAATTAAAGAGAAACTTGAGTCCTGTGATGGAAGATGACAACTGAGAAACAAGGGAGAAAGATGGAAAGGCAGGCGCACATGTCTCAGACAAAGTTCTAAAAGAATTTCAGAGCAGGAAGAGTTCTCTCGGCTTTGTGCCCAGCGGAAACAAAGAACACAAACCCAGAATGTCTCCAGATTCTAACCAGTAGCTGCTTCCCAAGTGGTAATGGCGCTTATGGTGGCTGGTTTCAAAACACATGTTGGAATTTTGTAAAAATTGTGTTTAGATAGTTTGTTTTCTTGTTTCATTTGTTTTCTGTTAAAAGTGCCTATTTTTGATAATGTGGTGTGTAGATGGAGCAGTGTAGTAGTTCTCTGAGCAGTTAGAACTTTAGCAACTTGCATGTCAAGTGTATGGCTAAACACCCATCAAGGATAATGAGAGCATTTCTCCCTTCCTCCCGCTACAAGGCCGGGCAGTCTTGTGAGGTGGAGACTCTTACTCCACTCATCCACCGCTGCAACAAGCTCATCCTGGTTGGAGATCCGAAGCAGCTCCCTCCCACTGTCATCTCCATGGTGAGTGTCTTCATGCTGAGGTCCAGGGGGCTATTTTTATTTTTCAAAGGACAGCTCTTTTTTGGATTGTCATCTGTTCTTTGAAGGGAAAAGAGAACATTGTTTAAATCTTTTTTGTGATGGCACTGGGGTTTGAACTCAGGGCCTGCCCTTGCTAAGTGGGCACTCTACCTTGAGCTTTGCCTATAACCTTTTGTTTATTTATTTATTTACTTCATTTATTTTTTCTCTTTTTTTTTTTTTTTTAAATAGGGTCTTGTTTTTATATCCAGACTCACATAGACCTATATCCTCCTGTTTATGCTTCCCGTATACTTAAGATGACAGGTGCACCCCTACATTGCCTGATTTTTTATTGGTTTTGATGGGGTCTTGGGAACTGTTTGCCTGGGCAGTCCTGGAAATGCCATTCCTCCTGATCTTCCTTTCCCAAGTAGTTGGGATTACAGGTGTGACCCACTGTGCCCAGCTACTGTGTCTTAATAAGGAAAAAATCCCAGTTGGGGATGGTGACCCACGTCTGTAATCCAGCACTCAGAGGCCCTGGCAGGAGGATCATGAGTTCAAGGCCAGCCTCAGCTACACAGTGAATTTGATGCCAGCCTGGGCTACATAGAGAAACTCTGTTTCAAAAATGAGAAAGTAAAAAATCTTTGCAAATGTCCTTTTGTTCCTGGTTGTGCTTCTGTGTGTGGCAGAAGCCTTGTAAAGTGTTGGGCAACATTTCAAGTATACTAGGCTTTCCTGTAGGAAGGGCTGTTTGCATGTATTTTAAGGACTGTATCTGGTTTATTTCAATAACACCAAACATATAAGAAAAGCTTTTAATATCAAGGAAGAGAATCCCTACTTCTTAATTTACGTTTAACTATCACATGTTTGCGGAAAACATTATAGACAGATAATTTTGGAGCTCATTTCTGATTTTGAAACTCTCTCTATGGTACAGGAAAATGTCCATGTCCCTTACAGCACTTGAAATTGAAGGTGACAGGGAAAGAAATTAATTATGAACCCAGCCTAGGGAATATTAAGGGCCCAGATGGCAGTCCAGTCTTCTTTGTGTTCATCTTACTAAACTTGTGTCCTAGAAATGTACACCAGAATCAGGATTCAGTAGCTGTTTGGGCAGCCTCTGAATAGGGCCTACACCATGGCTTTGAAATTGAAAAAAATTTGTGTTTTTTTCTACTACGTAATTTATACAAATAACATAACCCATAACAGAGATCTTGAAGACACTTCTATTCAGTTATGGAATGAGTGTGTGTGGTAACTTGTTCTTGTTTCTGGTTTTGGCCTTTGAAATTATTCAAAATGATGGTTTGGTTGTCGTATGCCCTGTGAGCACAGGTTCTGGACCACATAGGGGTGTGGCTCAGAAGCAGCTGTGGCTGACTGAGAGCCTGTGTCTGTAGGCAGAGCTGCTCCAGGTGACTCATTCCCGGAGAACAGTGAGCTCTGCTATGGGCTCTGCTGTGGTTCCTCAAAAAATGTGCTACATCAAAATAGACCTGATTTAATTTCGTGAAGTGCTCAGCCTGGGCCTCAGCTTCAGTGCCTACTTGAAAGCTTGATAAAAAGCAACAAAAATGATTTTAAAAATGCAGTCATGAGCGCTTTTTTATTGTACACATTAAACAGGTTTATTGAGGAACGTTAAAGAATAATTACAGAGTTCTTTTCCACAGCCTGCCTTTTTTGTTTTGTTGAGTCAGAGTCCTGCCATGTTGCACAGGCTGGCCTGAAACTCAGGCTCCTCAAATGCAGGGATTACAGGCATGCACCACCACACTGAGCTCCACACCTTCCTAACCACCTATTTCTATTGATGATTACTTTGAACAGTTTAGTATTTTAACAGGTTTTTCTGGGCATTTGTGTGGCATTTAGTCTTCCTTCAGTATATATTATTTTTTAGGCTTTTGAGAAAGGGTTTTGCTATATTAACTGGCCTGGAACTCCTATGTAGCCCAGGCTGGCCCTGAACTCACAATCCTGCTGCCTTAGTTCCAGAGTGCTGAGATTACAGGTCACTACCTGTAAAATCACCTGACACTGCATCTCCATGCCTGGCTCAGACAGTTTCAGGTGCTGTGGTTATAATAGTGAGAAAACGGTCAGAATCCCTGCTGTCGTAGTGTTTATGTTCTAGTGGATAACAGACAGCAAATGAGCTTATAAAAGACAGTATACAGTGGGTGTAAGGTTTATAAGCATCCACATGTTTTTAAGTATATGGAGGGTTTGTTTAAAGGTGGTGGAAGTATTTTGTGCAGAATTAGCTTTTTTTCAATCAGTGAATAGATGAGGGATCTTCTTTCATGTGAGAATATATAAATCTATATCATTTTGTAGGATGGACTCATCTTTTTTTTCCTGGAAGCAGATGTGTTACCTTGTGTAAATCCTTTTTCTACTTTCTCAAAGAGAAGATTCAAAATTTCGTTCAATTCTAACTCAAATACATAAATTTAGGGGAAAGTAGATGACATTTATCAAAGATCTGTTAATAATTATCATTTCCTTTAGTTACACAGGCCTATTTAAAATTACATAAATGGTGTATTGGGCAGTCATACCTTATTTTGCATTCTCATAGTTTGTGAAACAGGTTTATTCGGACTGCACATAGGTCTTCAAAGCCAGTACTTCACTTTATTTACAGTTTTCACAGCACATTTTACCATCCAGATTAAGATCAAATATTTTTAAACCTTTGTATGATGCTGTCATTGGCAAGTACATCCCAAGGCACACCTGTGATGATGTTAATGCAGTTTTTCTTCATTTGTTATTCAGGTCACTATTCTTCACCTTCTAGCTTGTGACTTGTTATTTGGTTTGTGAAACCAATTTAGAAAGTTTGCAGTCCGTCTCTGGCTCCAGAATATCAATTCTGTGAGATTTGATCCTTTTCACCTTAGCAGTCTCAAGACTCCAGATCGTAGGTGCTCAGTACACATGCAATGGGGACAGGATGAAGAAACTGGTCTTTGGAAGCCGTATTTGCAATGACATTCAGTATTTCTGCTTGTGAGGGCAGGCCCCAGAAGTAATTGTTAGAATCTGGGTTAAATTTCTTTGCTTCCTTTATTATTGACTCTTTCAAATGACCTCTGCTAGCCTCAAAATAGCATTGGTTGTGGTCATTCACAAGATCACATCTCTTTCATAAGTAGTATGTGGATATTGTAAATGAAGAGAAAATACCTGCGCTTACATTCAAGGTACATGGCTTTTATTGTCAGAAACCTCTCCTTTCTCTGAATATGTGATTATATTTTATGCCACATGCATATCAGAGTGCTGTCATTTACTGCTTTCTCTTTCTCCTAGAAGGCACAGGAATGTGGCTACGACCAGTCAATGATGGCTCGTTTCTATAAACTGCTGGAAGAGAACGTAGAACAGAACACTATTGGCAGACTGCCGATCTTACAACTTACTATTCAGTACAGGATGCATCCGGACATATGTCTCTTCCCTTCTAATTATGTTTACAACAAAAGCTTGAAAACAAATAGGTGGGTTTTCCTTATTGCTTGTGAGTTTCTTTTATTCATAGGTGTAGCTGCATAGGAGGAAAAGTCATTTCCTCTAATTATAGATGCCATCAGGTTGATTATATCAAGTGCAGATAAATTTTTAAAGGGGAGGGAGGACACTCCTGGATGAGGATATTGCTCAGTGGTAGAGCTTTTAACCAGCATGCATGAGGCCCTGGGTTCTACCTCACCACTGAAAAGAAAAAGTCAACCATATTTATACTGCCTAGAAATAGTCACTGGTAGCATTTTGACATACCTAGTTTCAGTCCTTGTTTTGATGGTGGTATTGGGAATTGAACCCAGAGCCTCGTCCATGCTACATATGAATCCACACACTGAGCAACACCCCCAGTCTCCCAGCCCCTTTATATGTCTCTTTTACTTTTGGGTTAAATGCCATAAAGGATAAGTACAGATTCAGTTGAATTAAGGTATGAATGGGAATAAGGAAATAGAAATAAAGATTTTGAGTTCTGAGTAAGAGAACATGCTCAGGCTATCTGTGACAGACTGCAAGATAATTGTGAGGTAGCACAGATATCGAGGAGCCAGGGATTCTTGATGAAAGAGTAGAGGAGTTAGTTTGGTGGCAGCTTTCATTAGTACAGAGACATGAAGTATAAAGAAATACAAATTGCACTTCCAGATCAAAGAGAACTGTAGAGCAGGCAATGTCCTCGGGTGAGAATCAGGCATTACGCTAAGGAAGTGAAGGAAGTGAATGTTGAAGAACTGGTCGTCAGGTTGCACTGCCACAGAGGTTGTGACTTGAAAGGTGTGTGCTGGGTCTGCTGGAGTAGAACCAGAGGATTGAGAACTGAGCCCCAAGACCATTGTGAGAGCAGAAGGTCACAGGCTTAACCTGAGGACCAAAGAAATTAAAATCCTCAGGGTGCAAGAGACAGCCAGCTGACTGGGTTGGTCTGCAACTCTGTAAGTTAGTTAGGTGGATATTTACTTAAGACTCGTTGAGCAAGGCAAACAAGGTAGCCTCAGGTTGTAGGTACAGTACATCCCCCGTGTTGGTGCCAGTTGGGTCTGGTTTGGTAATGAGGGGACCCACAGTTTGGAGACTGGGTTGGGGGCAAGGAGGATAGTGAGCCTGCTGCAGGGCCCATGCCATTGAGCACTGGGGGTCCCACAGATCATATTTAGCTGCATGGACAGCATCCTAGTTATATGGTACGTGGTCTGCACAACCAGTGATGGGAGTTAAAGAAGATAATGTGTCTGAAGTTCTTTTCTCAGTGTGGAGAAGATAAGTCTTTAATTCATATTAGGCATTTATTATTTTTATCTTCATTGTTACAAATACTGTTGCTGTCCCAATTGTAACAGATGAAGAAATTGGTGCTTAAACTGCAGGTGACTCCAGACTGTTCTCTCTATAACTTCGTATTTTACTGGGCAGTTATTTGTATTTATTCATATGCGTGATATTAAGGGTCATCATATCATCCTCTTTTGGGTCACTGCTGACTGAATAAAAGATGAAACCTAAGCTGGGTTTGGGTGATGCATGCCTGTCATCCCAACAATGGTGGGGAAGCTTAAAATAGGAGGATGGCTGTCCAAGCCAGCCCAGATAAAATGACTCTGTCTTGAGAGTAACCAGAGCAGAAAGGGCTTGAGGTGTGGCTCAAGCGGTAGAACACGTGTCTTACTAGTGCAAAGCCCTGAGTTCAAACCTCAGTACTGCAAAGAAAAAAAAAAAGAAACCTATCTGCCTGCCTTTTACTGTATAGTAGGAAACAAACTAGAACTACTTAGCAATTAGGCTATTACTATTTTTGAAATGTTGTCTTTTCTTTTTCCATCTTGTTTAGCTCATATGTAAATGTTCAGGAAATAAAATTGGTGATGGAAATAATTAAGCTTATTAAAGAAAAAAGAAGAGATATTACTTTCCGAAACATTGGCATAATAACCCATTACAAGGCTCAGAAGACGATGATTCAGAAGGATTTGGACAAAGAGTTTGATAGAAAAGGGTAAGGCATTTAAACATATTTCTAGTGTTTAATTAGGAGAGTGGGTAGAGGAAACTTTAGGAAGTATCTCAGACCATGTAAAGAGGTAGTGCAGCACAAGAAGATTGGAACTCTGGCTTTCATAGACTTGTGCTGAGTAGGTACTGGGTACTTGGCCCCTGAAGACAAGGTACCTCCTGGTAGTTGGAATATCTGCATTGTACTTGTCAGTGGAATTGAGAACTTTCTAGTTAGTTCTGTGATTTGTTAATCTCGGTTCTAATTATATGGAGACTAGTGACATCACATTTTACTTTGAACATATTATTTAACCCTTGTATTGCCTTTATGTATACAGTGAAGGTTGTGTTTTTGTCTCCTTGCCTCTACAGTAAAATTAAAGATTAAATATTGGATATCCATGTCAGGTATGGCGGTGCACACCTATACTCCCAACACTTGGGAGGCTGAGGCAGGAGGATCAAGAGTTTGAGGCCAACCTGGGTACCTAGCCAAGACCCTGTCTCAAAAAAATAAAACTTCTGGAAATTAATTACCTCAAAAGTTTCTTAATCTAGAAATACGCAGGTGACTAAAATAGATCTGAACAGACCTGTGTAACAAATATCAGAAGCGAGTAGGACGAGCTGGAGGGTGTAGCTCAGTGGTAGAGTGCTTACATAGCACATGGGAGGCCCTGAGTTCTATCCCCAGCACTATTAAAAACAAATGAGTGGAAAACAACCCACAGAATGGAAGAAAACTTTGCAAATCGTATATCTAATTAAAGGTTCTCACATCTAGAATATATAAGGACCTCTTACTACTGAATAAGTTTAAGAATGGGCAAAAGATCTGAATAACCATTTCTCAGAGGAAGGTATACCGGTAGCCAATAAACACATGCAAGACCCTCGGTTTCATTTTTGGTTAGGTAAATTTGAATCAGATCTACCACTTCAAACCCACCAGGATGGCTGTAATGGAAGAAAAAAAAAAAGGATGTAGAGAAATTGGGACCCTTATACATTACTGCTGAAAATGTAAAATGATAAATCACTACATAAAACAATTTTGGTGATTCCTCAAGAAATTAAATACAGAATTACTGCATGAGTCAGTAGCTTCTCTCCTAGGTATACACCCAGAAGAATAATAAAATGTTCACACAAAAACTTCTGTACATATAGTAGCATTCATAATGCCATAAACTGGAAAACCCAACCCAAGTGTATCAGTCATGAATGGGTAAGTAAATTGTGGTATTCTACGATGGAATATTAGTCAAAAGAAGAACGAAGTACCGTTACACTCTACAATGTGGATGAGCCTTGGAAACAGAAGGCTAAGGGAAAACAGTTACAGCAGGTCACATATTTCATGATGCCATTTGTATGAAATTTCTAGTGTAAGAAAATTTGTACAGTCAGAGGAGATCAGTGGTAGCCAAGGATGGGAAGAGGTAATGGGGTTGAGACTAAATACTAAGATACCACAAAAAAATTTCTGACTGGGTACCGGTGGCTCACGCCTATAATCCTAGCTACTAGGGAGGCAGAGATCAGGAGGGTCTCATTAGTGGGCCACCCTGGGCAAATAGTTCATGAGACCCTATCTTGAAAAATATCCAACACAGAAAAAGGGCTGGTGGAGTGGCTCAAGTGGTAGAGCACCACCTGCCTAGCAAGCGTGAGGCTCTGAGTTCAAACTACAATATCGCCCAAAGGGGGGAAAAAAGCTTTAAATAATTATATTTCATAATCATTTTCCTTTTACTGATAAACATGTTTACCCTTTGTAAATAGGCCAGCAGAAGTAGATACTGTGGATGCCTTCCAGGGTCGTCAGAAGGATTGTATCATTGTTACTTGTGTCAGAGCAAGTGCCATGCAAGGCTCAATTGGGTGAGTAGCTGTCATCACTGCTTTTTCCCTGGTTTATAATCCAAAATTAGATCTATTGTCAATCACTGCTAGATAACATCATTTGCTTTGTTTTCTTTTATAAAAGCTTGTATATCTTCATGTCTTTATGTAGAGGTTGTGAAATAGATCCACTGTGAGGTCTACTTTTCAACCAAGGACTCCCCTGAGTCTCCAGGCCCAAGACTCTTACGTCATTGTTTATTTCTTCTCATGAGCTGCACAGGGAATTTATAGCAGATTGTAAATTTGTTTTGTTCTTAAAGAAAATGGTAATTTGAATGATGTTTGTCTGTCCTTAGGATGGGCTGCATGTATATCCTGTTATCACAGGGCCATCCTATAAGCAGTCCATCTTCCCCAGCTAATTTTAGATTTCACCTCTACCATATGCCTTTTCTATCACTATACTTACAGTTTGTCTATGTATCTCTGCACTAGTTGCACAGTCTGGGTATATTTAAAGTTGAGAATAAGTAATTGAACTAATACATTTTTAGGACATTTTTAAGATTTAAAAGGCATGGTGGTGCACTCCTATAATCTCAGCACTGGGGACGCTGTAACAGAAGGATCACGAGTTCCCGGCCATCCTGGGTTGCCTAGCAAGATCCCACCTGAAAAAACGGGTATTACCGGGAGTGTGGGTCAAGTTGTAGAGCATCCGCCCTAGTAAGGGCAAGGCCCTGAGTTCGAACCCTAGTACCGCCAAAAAATAGTCACTACTGTTAATTTTTCCATTTTCTCATCGAAGTCAAAATAGGAAATTGACAAATACATCACCTTGAACTAAAGCACCAAGGGTTTGGTTTGTTCACTGTTGTGAATGGGAATTAAATTCCTTCTGTATATGCAGATTGTTTATATTCACAGAGGTGTGACACAGCACTGTCCTACATCTGTACTTGCAGAGAACACAGTAAAAAGGCAGAGGACCCAGAGGGTGGGATGGCATGCATCTGTTCCTGCGTTAGGAACAGGAGGAAGAAAGCTCTGAGTTGTGATGAAGCGGAAGGGTACTAGAGAAGCCGTCCATGGTACTCCTGTGCCCCCTTCAGAGCGTGGGAAGTCCTCTGTAGAAAGTAACTCCATTTTCTGTTGCTTACAGATTCCTGGCAAGTTTGCAGAGGTTGAATGTCACCATTACACGAGCCAAGTACAGCCTCTTCATCCTGGGACATTTGAGGACCCTGATGGTAGGTACCTTCTCAGGGGTCACAGAAAGCTCAGGCTTGCCCTTGTTACTGTTGCTGAATTGAGGGTTTTGGATGTTTCTGCTTTTTTCATTTTTTAGAGAGTACTTTATTAGTTTCTGCTGTCAAACCCACATGGCTAAGACCTTAGCACATCATCCTGTACAGATGGGAAAAAATTACGTTTAACATTTCTAGACCAATATGACTGTTAGTTTCTATACAATTTCAACTCAACATGGTGCACTGGCATACTTTTTCCAAAGTTGACAGCACAGCTAAAGTTTCCAAAAATTTAAATTATATGTATAGATGTGTATATATTTATATTAAAAGACCGACAGCAGTTTGTTAGCCATCAATGGCAGCAACAGCTTTTCCAGGTTCTGCAGTCATCTGAGCAAAATTACAGATGTCCAGCACACGCCATTAAAGAAAAAGTAAAAACCAACTCCAGAAAACACCAGAGTTCTGTTAAAGTTGTGGTACCTGGCCCCACTTTTTATTAGCCTCTCAATCATCTGGAAAGAACCCTATAGAGTAGCATCATTTAAAACAGTACTGATGAACGCTATCACTGTTGTGTGTCCCAGAGCAAGTACAGATTGTTTATATTCACAGAGGTGTGACACAGCACTGTCCTACATCTGTACTTGCAGAGAACACAGTAAAAAGGCAGAGGACCCAGAGGGTGGGATGGCATGCATCTGTGAAGAAACACCCTTTCTTAGACAGGGCTGCTTCTCATCGGTAGCACAATTCTGTGCTTACTCTACTTATGACCAGCTAGAAAGCGCTGCTTTGTTGGTGTTCTCCATCAAAATGGAAGTGGTTTCTGGGTTACAAAGTAAAGGTTACTGTGTCCAGAAGCTTTTGTGTGCAAATAAACCACTCACTCTTTCTTAGAGCAACACCAAGTGTCTCTACTAGGTTTTCAAGGTAACCTTTTTAAAAGTGTACCTCATGGGATTGTGAAGAGGTGTGTAACAGTGCTAGGACAGTGCTTGGCACTCAGGAAGCACTAAGTAAACTGGGTTCTTCTGGGTCCAGAGAGCATGCTTTGCTCTGCTCTGCTCCAGAACTTCTTTGCCCAGACAGGCACTCCTCATCTTCAGTAGACAAATGCTGTGACAGTGTGGTCGCACCGTTAGAACAATGAGACTCCTGTCTCATTGTGGGAGTAACCTCGGGGTCTGGGTCATCTAAGGAGAGAAGCCAACTCAGATTTTTTCCCTTGCATTTTGGTTAGTACCACTAGAGGGCATCCAGATATGCTTCTGTCTCATTTAACTCCTACCAAGATTTGTGGTCCTTAACTGGTGGTGTTTGTGTACCCCTTGATAGAAGGTATAAAAGCCATTTTATGTCCATATTTTTAAGTTGATGTGGAAAAAATTTGATCATAAGCTTAAGTATTGGTAAAGATTGTGTTTCCAATGTAATAAAGCAATGGGAAGCTAGGCACATACTGGCCTAGCATGTGTATGGCCCTAGATTTCCCCAATACCATAAAAAGAAGAAAATAAAATGATTAAAAATAAAACTTTTTTTCCTTCAGGGCTGGGGTTTGAACTCAGGGCCTCTTTGCTAGGGAGGTGAACTGCACTCTCAGCCCCAAAGACTTTCCTGTTAACCTCGCAGTCAATTGCTGCTTTTACATGCAAATTGAAAGCTTGAAAGTTTTTAACAGCTGGGTGTGGTGTCACATGCCTATAATCCAGCACTTAGGACACTGAGGCAGAAGGATCGTGAGTTCAAGGCTAGCCTGGCTCATACAGCAAAACCTTGTCTCAAAAAACCAAAAGAAAACAAAAACAGTAGAAAAAGTTGTTTTTCATAACCCTGCATGGAGGGGGCATGTAGCCTTGTTTTGTTTTTGTTTTTCAATTTCCTGTGATTATTCATCTCAAAATATTTTCTTAAAAATTATTTTTCCCTGTGATCCTTAGGATCTAAAGGTTAAAAAATGATTTCTTGTTAACTGAATAACCTATCACAATTTTTACTGGTACACTTGAACAAGATATCATAACTATATTATAGATTTTGACAGTGTTGAAATTTGGAAAACATTACTGGAAATGTGTCCTCAGTAATGCCTCAATTACAGCGGGCCTTCGTGGGCACTACTGCTTTTAATATCCCCCCTTTCTTTGGCACCAAGGAGTTTCTATGTGGCCTGGCAGTGGCCCCATTTGTGAGATTTGGGATGTGTGAGTGGTCATGAACTGGGATGGTGGGAGAGGGGCAGATGTTCCAACAGGACATGGAAAGGGGGAGTTTGGAAATCATTTTCATAAACCTTTTCACTTCTTAGAAAGTTTTTGGGGACTCACAAGTCACATTTCCACAAATCTGCCAACCACTGACCACCTGCTGATGGCCCCAGAGTTGCTTTACTCCAGGAAGGCAGTGCTACAATAAGAGACAGACTAGAGAAGGCTGGAGAGCAGTGCCTGGCTTCTACCCGACACTGCCGAAAAAAGAAACACTGGAATATTGAAGCTCCCAGCTCATCGCCTGGGCCTTTGCACTAGCTTTGTTCTTCAGGGAGAGGGTCCTGTTTGATTTTGGTTCTTTTTTCTTAATTCTTTAGCTCAGTTTCCCTTAGGAAAGTGAAATCAATCACTGAAGCACTTGGTTTGAAGCCAGTCCTAGGAGTCCCTTCTCACCGGACTCCTGTTTTGCAGTGATAGGGTGAAAATTGAAGTCAGTGCCAAGTCTTGGTGTAGCAGACTTGGGAGAACTGGAAGTGTGCTTTCCCACGTGAGTTTCAGCCTCACAGTGAGAGTCTCGGCGCAGGACTGACACAGCATGGGTCTGCTTACCTGGGCCTCCCTAGAACATGCCAGGCTTTGTGCCTCTGTTCTGCGCACGTGGCTTCCTTTAACCCCGACAGAACTCGCCTGTGAACACAGTTCATTACCACAGTTCATCCATCCAAGGAGCCATTGGTTACAGTACACACCACTCTTCACATTTTCACTAAATTGTATTGCAGTTCCTTGTTTCCCCGTGATTTTTATGGTTTTATTACATTTCTGAATTCGCATGCATGAATAATGCACGGGGGATTTCCTTGTGGTGATACCATACATGTATACAGTGCACTCTGAACAAGTTCATCCCCTCCATTACATTCCCATTCCCTCTCCTTTTCAAAGTGCAGTGTCTGTTAACCTGGGACACAGCACTGTGTTTTCACTAAGGATCTTGTTTATATTTATTGAATGTACTTGTGGCGGGTTGTTATGCCAGGAGTGCTTAGCGCACAGAACAGTGACAGCACTAACCAACCTTTTCCCAGGTCAGCCATCATGCCTCTTCCATCCCCAGTGCAATCAGGAAGTTTTCTGGAGTGTTCCACCACTATCTCCATGGTTTTCTACCAACCCCTGATCTCCATCCTACAAGTCTTAATGCTGGCACTTCTTGTCTTACCAGAGATGTCCATGGCAAGTTCTTGGACAAGGCCTTTGAATGGGTTATGGTTGCCTAGTCATGAACTCCCCCTACACCCCAGCTAGGTACATGGAAACTGCTGCTTAGCCAAGAGGCAGCCCACACTCAGAAATACTAAAATGTGAAAATTGGAACTTTCCAGTCAACTAAGTATTTCATTTTACAGATGGGGAAACAGTCTTAGGGAGGTGAAGTAACTTGATGGAAGTGATACAGGAAGTAAATGTAATGTGTTCTCACTGTATAGGGGCCACATGACAGTTGCTACCATTTTATATTTTTCCTTCAGTTTTTATCTCCCTCACCCTCATTCTTGTTCTTTCTGAAGAGACCTACGTTGTAGTGATTGTAAAGTAGCTGTTAAATGACAGGGAAGCTGTAACAAAAAGAAATGCATTGGCTCGTCTCACCTTAAATATGCTTCTTAAGTTTCTCTAGATGAGTGACAGAAAGTGGGACAATGGATTAAGGTGGTGTAGTACTTCAGGGATTGGGAGGCCTTTGGAAAGCCAGTGAAAGCTTATGGGCCTCTTTCCAGAACAGTCCACATGCATCAAAAGTTTGCCTTCTGAAACCAGGCCTGCCTGTTTGAAAATGTCAGCCCTGCCAAGAGCAGGCAACACTCTGTCTTTAGGGTGCAGTGGGAATTCTGCAGCCACAGGATGTTTTAGTCCGTGCACGGTGCAGTAACTATTGGAAGTGTGTGGAATGGGGCTGGTGCATTGGGGAACGGCAGTTTTGATTGCATTTAACTTTAATTAATGAAAATTTAAGTAGCTCCATGAAGTTACTTACAAGTAGTGAAGATGTGCATGACAGCTTACTACTGTGTGGCATGAGCACCAGGCTGAGGATGTCGGAGTTCTTCCTTACAGCTTGTGGCCAGTACTGGTTTTCGTTCTGGGGCTTCACCATTCTATGTTGCGCTTACTCTTTCCTTTCAGTCTTGTGTGACAAGTCATGGGTTCTTGAATGTATACATAACACATTCCTAAATGAAAGTCGGAACCCAGTGCTTCCAAGCATAGTGAGTAATTGTTTGTCTGTGTCTCTCTTTGAAGGAGAACGAGCATTGGAATCATCTGATTCAGGATGCCCAGAAGCGTGGGGCCATCATTAAGACCTGTGACAAAAACTATAGGCATGACGCGATGAAGATCATGAAACTCAAGCCTGTGCTGCAGAGGAGTCTGACCCACCCCCCAACCATCGCCCCAGAGGTGTCTAGGCCCCAGGGGGGCCTGCCCAGCAGCAAGCTGGACAGTGGGCTTGCCAAGACATCTTTTGCTGCCTCTCTGTACCACACACCCTCTGACTCCAAGGAGGCTTCTGTCACTGTTGCCACAAAGGACCCAGAAAGACCTTCTCTTCAGGAACGACTGCGGGACCCACGGCTGCTGAGGAGGTTGGATATTGACACCAAGGGAGCATTCCTCAGGGATCCACAACCCTCAAGCCCGCAGCATCCTGGGGCAACCCCTCCCTTGGGAGAGCCAGGCTTTCCCATGACTCACCAGGACCTGGGTGGCAGTGTGCCACCATCCACTGCCAAAGTGGCCCCTCTGAGCAACCACAGACCTCCCCTGCAGGCCGAGCCTCCAGCTGCCAGCCTCAGTGCTTCCACCAATAAAAGGAAATGCGGTGACCTGGACGGAGGTCTGAGCTATGGAAGGGAGACCAGGGCTTTCAGTGAGAGGGAGCAGGAGGAGCATGGCTTTGTGCCCCATCATCCAAAGAGGAACTCTGACTGGGACAACAGGAGACTGGAGGAGGGTAGCAGTGGCAAAAGGAGAAGGTTTTTATAGTGAAGCCGAGTGACTGGACTGCCAGCCAAAGGCGTGGTTGTCAATGTAAGCCGACCAGCTAGCAGGGCCATCAGATAAGATTTCTCCCTAAAGAGTTTGTGTGCTGTTGGAAAACATGGAAGTGCATCCTAACCATGAGCCTTTGGTCATCCTCAGGACTTCATTTCAGTTGCAAAAGCTTTCAGAGGGTGTCTGTGTTCTTGAAGTCACAGGTTCGGAATGTTGCTCTTTCATTCTTGGGTAGAAAAGGAGGTCAGACTGGAGTGAGTGTTGTAAAGTTGAAATGTATATTTGTATAGCAAACAACAAAATCCTTTAAAAATTTCATCTGATAGGCAGCTTTTCATTCCCCTTGCTTAAAATGTTAATTTTTCAACAGAGCAAACTATGCTTAAAAAAACAAGAGGGCAGGTCTTTCCAGCCGTTGTTACAACGGGAGGTCTTTTACAGCCTCAGTAATTGGGAGTAAGTTGAGTTCAGCTCATGGGTCAGTTGTCTCACTATTTAAAACAACTGGAGTCTCCTGGGGACCTTTGAGAAGTACCATCAGTCAGGGGAGGTTCTGATGTGGCACCCTTCTGGACAGGCACTGTGGCATGGGGGGTTACCTCTCTGTGACAAGTTCATTTACCTATTTTAGTATACACACAATTCTCTAACTAAAATGTTTTCTTAAAATAATTGTTACTTAGATGCTTGCAGCATATTGTGAGCTGTGGTAATTAGTGAGCTTATAGACATGACCATCAAACTTGAGATGGGCGCTGTGCTGACCATGGAAGAATCCCCTGGCATTGCTTATCAAGGCTGGCAGGTTGCCCAGGAAAATCCAACACTTCCCGAGGGGTTCCCATCACCAGGCAGCTTGGGAACCACTCAGGCAGGCCAAGTGGAGTATTTTAGGCAGGAAAGGAACTCTTAAAGAAGAAAGGGGGAAAGAAGACGTGTTTAGAGCTAGGGGAAGAGTTGCAGGTTTCCTGTGGTCCTCAGGAACTGTCTGGCAGTGGAACTAGCTTGTGGTAGATCACTAGTGGGTGCTCTCAGCTTCTATTTAGAGCCACTGTGCTTGTGACAGGAAAGTGGTTGTGGCAGGTAGAGATAGAAGAGTCAGATCGGGACACGGTAGGGGCTGCCTAATTTTGTTCAAGTTTCCTAAATGTGTGACTGTACAGTTGACGGTTGGAATAATGTCATTTGTAGTGAATGCTGTGCAGCCCATTGGCTAATTTGGGACCGAAAGACAAATCGTTGAGTATTAATGTTCACTATTTGAAGTTTTCAGTCATCTGCTTTTTAAGCAAACATGGTTTTGTCTTCAAAATTCTACTGAAGCAGGTTTTATGTACAGCTTTGAAAAAATAGCTTCTGGTTACCAAAAAAGTGTCAACATAATTTCTTTCCTTGTATGTCTCCCATGGGTGCCCAGATATAGAACTAATGTTAGCTGAACACCCTTGAAGACAGGGGCAGCCAGCTTCTGAGAGCTCTTTGTTCCACTGCAGCCTTGGTGTCCTATTTGTGCTGTTTGTCCTAGCCATGCAGCTTGAGGAAGAGCATGGCGGGGCTGGGGAGTAAGCACGCTGTTGCTTTAAAGTTTACTTTGCTGTGATCTTGGTAAAGTGAGTGCTTTAGCGCACTTGGAAGAGTAACCATTTAGGTAGTATGAAAACTCGAAGCTTCCAGGAGTGGCTGGGGTCAGGACATCCCCACTCTGATTAACATATGATTTAAGAAGTGTTTTCCCAAAATGCGTACTTTGATGGCACACACCAAACAACATTTGTCTAGTAGTGAAGTTTGATCCTGTTCTCAGGTTGTGGTCATCCGTTTGCTTACTCTTACTTAGTCAAATTATCCAAGAATCAGGAGGAGTATTGCAGCATCCTTCTTGTTTGTTTGTGGTTTTTGGTTTGTTTTTTTTTTTTTTGCAGTGCTGGGGATCAAACCCAGCACCCTCCTGGCATGCTAGGCATGCGTTCTGCCACTGCGCTTTTGATGTCCCCAGCCCCTGTGCCCCTTTCTAGGGAAGAGCCTCTCAACAGAACACAGTTGTGCTTCACATTAGATTTGAAACTTATTCGTTCCAGTTGGTAAAAGCATTTACAAAAAGTGGTATGTATCCCGTGGCCTTCCTGATGCTGTTGTCATAACAGTGCTGTTGAGTGCTGGTTAATGGTTCTGTGAGATAAAAAGTATGACTGTTCGCTCTTGCTGTGGCTTTAAGAGAGAGGGCTCTGTCTTCTTTCTGTGTCAGTTATTTCAACATGAATATATTCTACTTTAAACCTTGTTTTGCTTCCTTGTATATAATTTGCCTCGGATTTACCGCGCAGTTTGTTTAGTTATGTTTTTGTGAATTATTAGGAGTAAATTTGATAAGTTCATGTGAATAACCTCCTGTAAATGAGTTTTATAACAAAAATGTACTAAACTATTTTCCAAAATTAGTTGTGCAGATTGACGATTTTTTTTTTTTTTCTTTTTGCTGTAGTTTTGACTTCTTATGCTGTGCATTTACAGCCAGGTTCTGACAAACAGTAACCCTGTTGTCTTTGTTAAAACCTACACTTTAAGAGAAAATGGCAGAATTAAAAGTAGAAATGAGAACTGACGTGGGTTAGAAGTTACATTACTGAGTAAAGGTACAGATGTAATTCATGGAGTCTATCATTTCACTGTTTAGTGCTGAGGCCTCTTGTGGCTTTGTGTGACGCAGCCCAGCCTAGTTCTCACTGCTCCCAAGCTCCTGCTGGAACCTCCATAAGGTAATGGAGTTGCTGTGGCTCCCCATGGTGTATGGTTGTGTGTTGCACGTGTATCTGGTTGAAGTACAAGCTCTCCGTTAGACTGGGCTGGGGAGGGCAAGATGGGAGGATCAGCTGTGCAGTAACCAGTGACAGGAGTTCCCCAGCACTGGTGGGGGTGGGTATAAATGTCCAAGCTGGGTAACTGCCAGTGAATATGGAAGTGGAGCATGTTTTATGAAACCTACTGGTTTCATAAAAACCTACTTCAGGAAGCGGTTCTCCCACCCTTGTGCTTCTACTAAAAGGCATTTGACCTCACCCTTGGTATCTTCTGCACATGCTTCCCAGCTTGGCCTGCAGTCATTCAGTGTGCACACCAATGTACCTGGGAGGGTAAGTGGCATGCATGGGAGGGAATGAGGGAAGGAGAACAAGGAAGAATGAATTTGCCAAATGAGCTGGCAGGAGATGAGTGCCGTGTGACAGTCACTTCATTTGTGGGATTTGTTGTGGTAGCTGGAGCACTGATTTAAAGTCACCAGATAGCCCTCTCCTCACCAGTCCACAATCCCATGCGGTTGCCCCCACCCCCTGGGTTTCACCATTCATTGTTTGAGGAATAAATAATTCAGGGAGGGAACTAAAATTTAGCTCCGTTTAAAAAGAATTTATAGTGGTATGCAGTACCACAGAGGCAGTTCCTGCATACCAGGGACTGTGTCGTAACTCTTAGAGACCTGAGTTACTGTCACCTGTCCTGATGTAGAGGCATTTGCCAAGTCAAATGGCATGAATGATGCCATCGGTGGGTCTGGAAGGACAGGAGAGACATGCTCCTTACAGTGTACACTAGTGGCTGTGGACACAGCCACCCTTGTCACAGCACTGTAGCAGATGGAGCTGCTACTCGGGGCCTTCAGCCTCAGGGATGCATGCTGCAGTCACTGGGGAGCTAGCCTTTAAAAGGTTCTGGTGCTGGTTTGGGGTGGAGTTCTTGCCCAGAGGATTCCATGGAGCAGCCAGCATTGGAGCCTGGCCCTGTGGGGTCAGCAGAAAAGAGGAATAGGAGCTTGTAGGGACCCACAAGAAAAGCCATGTGGACATCTGCTTTCATTCCAAGAGAAGGAAAATAAATGGGCCCAGATGATTCTAGGTACCATCAGAAGGGAAGAAGGTAGGAGGCCCTGGGTCTAGGAAGATGCAGTGTGAGTTAGTGGTGGCAGACCAGGTCTCAAAAGAGCAACCAGCTCACTCCTTGTGACCCTAAAGCCGTTTATCACCTCAACAGTGGGTGATACCTGAGCAAGATGGGATGCTAGGCTGACCATACACAGCCACAGAAATGGTCCAGCAGGGAGCTATTGTTACCTGGAAAGGAGGAGACAAAGGCCTTAGCTCTGCCCATGGCACTGACCAGTGGCAATTCACAACGTCCTTTGCTTTCTCTGTCTGAAAACAGTATTTGGGGTTTGCGTTTTCTCCTGATCGTTTTCACCAGTAAATAAACTCCCAAGTCCAGAGCTCTGAGGCTGTGGGAGGAAGAAACAAAAAGTATGGTTTGTCAACCTGCAGGCTGAACTATCAGAATCTCTGGGGCGGGCGGGCTCTGAAGACAAATGAAGCAGCAGCCCTGTTGTCCTTGGGTTTAGGGTGGCTGCAGGGGCACCAGACACTGCTGCAACTCATGCCTGTGGTCACTTACCTGCCTGCCTGTTGGTGTGGGGCCAGGCCTGCAACTGGGTCATCCTTCCCTTAGCTTCTCCATCTCTGCCTGGTGGATGTTTGCCTCTGTGGCAAAGGACATGAGCTTGTCTGGTGAGATAGCCATCTCCAAAGTAGACTGACGTGGGTTCCAGTCCACCCATGGGGATCTAACCATCCTTGCTCTCCCCATTTCACACCACGTCCCTTTCCCTGCTGCCTGCCTCTCATGCGTATTACATCTTCACTCACTTAGTAGCCTCACCAGACAATAAACAATTTTTACATTCAACAGTCATACAAATTTTAATATGAAAAGGAGAAAAGTATTGTTTTTACTTGGTGTGCTAGATTTCACATTACTGTGATAAAATACCTGACAAATAGCAAAAGGGAGGAAGGACTGATTTTAGCTCATGGTTTCAGTCTATCATGGTGGGGAGTTCTGCTCAACTCATGGTAGCCAGGAAGCAGCCCAAAGATAAGAAAGGGCCAGGGCAAAGTACGCCCTTCAAAGATGTCCCTGGTAGCCAACTTCCAACCAGGCCATCTTCCAGTTCCACCATGCCCAATATTCCATTCAGGTTTCTAATCCATCAGTGGATTAGTTTGGCGCCTAATTGTCTCTGGAAACTCCCTCACACCACCCCAGAGACTGCTTTCACTTAATGTCCTAGGCATCTCTCAATCCAATCAAGTTGACAGTCACACACCCATCACACCCAGTTATTTAACACGTCTGTGCGCTTTGTTTTACTCCTGCTGGTCCACCTTGGCTTCTGGATCATTTTCCTTCAGCCAGAGAACTATTTTATTTCCTTCATCTAGTTTTGTTCATGAGGCATGTTTTGCTGGGTATAGAATTCTGGGTTGACAATGCTTTTCTTTCAGCACTTGAAAGATGTTTTTCACTCTGTTCTGTCCTCCATGGTACCTGGTGAAAAATCCAGTCATTCCAATAATTACACCCCCCATGCTGTGGTCTCAATGTGTTAAATGTTCCTCCCCCCCAATTCATATGTTGAAACAATCTCCAGTGTGACTGTAGTATAAGGGGCCAGCAGGGTTCCATTAAGCAGAACTTCTATAAAAGATAATTATCATTGTTGCAGGAATTGGCTTTATGTAGGGGTGGGAGCTGGTTACAAAGTCTCCAGAAGACTCTCTCCTTCATGTCTGTTCTTTCTTCAAGTTGTCTGTTCACCAGCCTCTCCCTCCCTCCCTTCTCTTCCTTAGGCTCCTTCTAGGATCTTAGGATATTATCTCACCATCTTTTTTCCAAATTGGACAAGTTTTTGTTTTTTTCTTTTGGGTCGGAGTCTTTCTGTGTAGCCCAGGCGGGCCTTAAAGTCTAGACCCTTCTTCTAAGCTAGACAAAATTCTATTGATACATCTTCAAGTTCACTGAATCTTTTCCGTTGTCACCTTCATTCTGCTATTGAAATTTCTACCTTAGATACTGTATTTTTTTGGTTCAAAAATCTCAGTTGGTTCTTTCTTACGCCTTTTGTTAGTCTGCTAAAAACTGCTTTGTGTCCATTTATTTTGAGAGGTTTACTGTTGCATGGTATAACGCCAACCTGAATTGTGGTATTGGCCATTGTTTTTTCCCTTAGAAACTGATTGTATTTTCCTGGTTATTGAAGGGGAGTGCTAAAGTGACATTTACCATGTTAACAAAGGTTAGGTAGAAATGTTTCCATCCTCCCTTCCCGCTCCCTTCTTTCTTCCCAGGATCTTTGCTATGTAACCCAAGATGGCCTTGAATTCATGGTCCTGCCTCAGCCTCCCTCATGTACCACACCTGGCCAGTAGTCATATTTTAAAAAGCCATCTTTATTTTTTAGAGCAAGTTTAAGTTCACAAGAAAATTGGGCAGAAAGTACAGAGATTGCTCATATCAATTCTGTGCTCCCATGCACAGCCTCTTCCAGCTACCACCCCCACCCCCAAGTGGCCCATTGATATAATGGACGAGGCCCAAAGTGCTCGTGAGGGTTCGTGTCTGGTGCTCTCTGGGTTTGGACAAATGTGTATACAAGAGCCACATTGTCTGCTGGAGGCTAGAGCTGACTCTACCTGTCCCAGCAGTGATTTTCTTTATTCAGTGCACCTTTTTAAAAATCTTCCCACTTTCTACAGTAAAGATCAATTGCCTTTATAATAAAATTAATTTTAAAGAGGGCACACCAGTTATTTAGCCAATCTCTCTTAAAAGAGAGAGATCTGGAAACCTGGGGAGTAGGCTCCGTGCTTGCAAATGTTCATCCTTCCTGCTGAGGATGGCTCAGGATGGGGGCAAGGTTGTGTCCTGGAGTTGGCCTCCCTCGGAAGCCATGGCTCATGCTCACCTATCTTGGAGCTCAGTGTAATGCCTTTTCCTCACCGGGGACCCCAAATTCACATGACCCCAAGTGCACCCTGCCCTGGCCTCCCTCCCCTTCCTCCTTCCTGCACCTTGGATCCCTAGAGCTGGGGGCCAGAGGGGACCAGGGAAGGGTTTGTTGAATGATTAGAAGGGCAGCTATTGCTGGTGGTCCAGACTCTTGGATCATCTGCCTGGCCAAAGAATCCCCACAGTGCCAGCTGTGGTCAGGACTCAATGCGGCAGGCAGTGCCCTTGGCCTGGTCCTACTCTCCCCTCACAGGCAGGCATCCTGTCTGGGGATTTGCACCCCCAGGATCCAGATCGCCTGGTCCTGAGACGGCAACATCACTGGCACGTAGCTGGCACAGAGCGGTCAGGGATTGGAGGTGTGTTTTCTGGAAGCAGTGGGCCATGTATGTGGAGTATGAGTCTTTGAGACACTGTGAAAGCCACTGCTGTACATGGCAACTCTCAAACGACTTGATCCCGACTTGATCCTGGGCCCCTTAAGGTACAAGGACCTTTGCCAGTGTCCCTATTGATGGGGGGGGCACAAAGACATCACGTTCCTAGCAGCAGTGGCACTGCTCATGAGAGGATGAGCAGTCATGCCACATGAATGGAGGGGCTGTCCACTGCAGCAGCCCCGTGTGCAGGTGCAGTACGTAGTGTGCACAGACACCCCGCAAGGACGTAAGTGGACATTGCTAACAGAGCAGGAAGCAGAAGATGCAAACTCCTGCTCAGGGCAGAGGCAAGGCCAGCGCTGGGCTCCATAGGTGGTGGGGTTGGCACAGGCGCAGCTGTCAGGAACTGCATTGAGTGCACTGGTGGTTTAGGGATCCCAACCCTTAGAACTTTTACGTCCCCCTCAGGTTCCTTGAACAGGCGCTCTTTCCCCAGGGCAGCAATGGAGAGGTCTAGGGCCTTGGAGCCATTCATCTGTGGGCCTCTTGCTGGCCATCCCCATCTTCCATTCCTCCCCACTCCTGCCTCCAGAAGGAAGCCGCACACCCCTGCAGCCCTTGGCCAAAGGTGAGTGAGATTTCAGGCCCCTCCTGCCTCTGGGCCTGGGGCTGGTAAGGAGGAAAATGCACATCACAGCGTCCCTGGTGGTCACAGTGGACTGCACCTGCCCCGCCTCCTCACAGCTGCATCCTCAGGGCTGGACTGGCACCTAGGGAGGGCTGCCCTAGCTAGAGCTGGCATGCGTGCAGGCCTTCATGTCTCTCCAGTAAGGGGAGGCCCCTAGAGACCAAAGGGCTGGAGTCACAGAACAGGCCTGGGCTTCCCCAGGCCCCAGAACCAACAGCCCTACTACAGTACAACCAAGGCCACTGCTGTCCATCCCCTGTCCCTCCTCACCCCTGCCCTGCCACCGCCAGTCAAGCGTTTATCCTGCACTCCTTATCACAGATGCACCCACACACATGCACCCAGGCTGGCCCCTGCAGGTCTGTCTGGCCCCCACCTGGCTGCTTCACAGGCCCCATTCCAGCCTGCCATTCCTGGTTTTTCCAGGCTGCCCTACCTGCCTAGGAAGGTGGCCTTCTGGAACGTTCTTCACCCTCCCACCATCCTCATCCCAGGAGGCCTCCCTGTGAGGATGGCCCTGGTCTGAGAGGCCACTGGCTACACCCTGCCATCTTCTACCTGCACATGCCTTATCAGAGCCCAGGACAGCTTCATTCCTGCAGCCCACCCAGACTCAGCACAAGACATGTCCTCATGTCATCATGCCAGAGCTATTTCAGAAATACAGAGCAGTGTAGTAATAACCTAAGAACATTCCCCACCATTTACATTTCTTTATTTTAGATCCTTTTTAAGAAAACATCCACAGAATCCTGGGGGGGGGGCCTGGGGGCACGTGACAGTGTCTGGAGACACCTTGCTTGTTTCGAGTGGAGGATGCTCCTGGCGGGTAGTTGGCTGAGACCAGGGCCCTAAACATGCTACACTGCACAGAGCAGTTCCATGACAGTCCCCAAGGTGGGCGGAATCTGCCGGGCTTGCTTGTTTTACCTGCAGTGAGGTGGTCACACTCTCAAACCCCGCCTCCTGCTGATGGGGACGTGACTGCTTTCCGTGGCTCGCCCTGTCTCAGATTTTGCACAGATTTTCTTGAGCCTGCGTGGCTAGGTTTTCTCTAGATGGCATCCCTAGGAGTGGAATTGCCAGGCCACAGGGCATAAGCACAGGACAGTGGACAATGTCCCCTGTCAGCAGCCCCATTGCACGAGGACTCATGAATGCCAGGGATGGCCAGACTTAACTTTTTACCAAGCTGATGGAGGTAACATTTGCCCCTCCCCCGTAACCACTGGCCTGGCCTTCAAGGTTCCCGTTTTTGTTGGTATTTGGGTGCTCTGGCTGGGAATTTGCCTGCCCACCTCTTCACTCATTTTTCTCGTGGGCTGTTGGTCTTATTCCCTTGAGTTTTTAGAAGCACTTCATATATCTCCCTGTATCCTTTCCAGGGTTTTTGTCTCCGTCCATGCTTGGTGCTCTTTTCACTAGTGTCTTTGGTTGTACCAAAGGTTTTTATCTTAATGTCCTCAAATTGATCAAACTCCTAGACATTTCAAAGACTCACTTTCCCATGGATGTCATTAACCACTTGAATTAATTTTTGTGCATTAGTACGAGGAAAGGGTATAATTTTACTCCCTACTATTAAAAAGTTTTTAACCAAATTAGCTCTATTTGTTAACTAATTTGGAAAAATTTAAATGTTAAAAAAATTGAATAGTGAAGAAAATTTGAAATACCTGAATATCTTTGCATGGATTCACCAGTTCCTGTCTTTCCTTTTATTGTGGGGCTGGAGATGGAACCCAAGGCTGCACTCCCCATCCCAGTTTACCAGTTTTATGTCTGTCTGAAAGTGTAATGACATGTTACTCCACTCCTAAGCACTTCAGTGTGTGTCTCCAAGGAACAAGGACATCTACAATACTACAAATGTACTTGCCACATCTGAATTTGATATAATAACTAACCTCCCATCCACATTCAAATCTTTGCAATTGGACTAAAATGTCCTTTATCGATGTATTTCGAAAGGCAATTTTATGTCCTATCCAGCCAGGGTCACCGGTTGGGTTTGGTTATCTCTCTGGTTTCTTCTGTGTAGGAGAGCACTGCTCTTTGGTCTTTCACGATTTTGACATTTTTGAAGAGGAAAAGCCAGTTATTTTATGGCATATCTGGAAAGCTGAGTTTGTATGACTGTCCACTTGCACAGAGTTAGGTAAAAAGTTTTTTGTCAAGCTGTGGCTTCCCGTCTCATGAATGATGGCATCCCCTATGTGGTGACCCAGACTGGGTAAGGGGGACTCACCAGAGTCCAAAATGATGGGATGCTTGATCTTAGAGTTTGAGCCTCCAAAACTGAGCGAAAGAAACCTTCTTTCCTTATAAAGCAATGCAGATGATATTTAGGAACAAGAATACTGTGTAATTGGTGGTGTCCTTTCTGCTGAGTCATAGCAGAAGGCACAAAATACCTATTCGCCCCATTCTTGGTGACATTGGGCTTGATTGCTTGTTTTAAGGGGTGGCCAGCAGCTTTCCTTTTTGGTAATTAAACAGCTACCTGTAGGGTAA